ACCATTCTGCCAATGGGACTCGATCCAACTTCTGCCGATTCATGACATAGCATGACCACCAGCCAGCTTCATAGGCGAGTGTTTGTCTTCACCTTCGGCCTGCTGCGCTCCACTGATCACTACTTTTCACTAGAACCCCGTAACTACCTACTTGAGTGTTATTAGATTGCACACGGGGGAACATTTAATGACCTAGAGATGGCTAACTTCTTTAGGGAATCAATCCGCATTCAGAGAACTGGTAACGTTGTGAACGGCATACAGCTAATATTTCCCTCACGTGGTTAGCTTGACATCTTAGGGGCTATTATTCTCTAAGTTGAACCAGATGCGGTTATGCATCTGGTGAGGTAGCAAAATCTTGTTTAAAACCTCACAAGATCCTAGTGCATAGGACGCTCCATTCTTCAAACAGTAGACCCTTCACGCCACACTGTTCTGGCACTAATTAGAGAGAAGGATGCTACTGAGAGTGAAAACATTGCGTTTTATCCTCTGCCTGCAGAAATGGATTCTCAAAATTCTGTTTTCTGGAGGCCTATTGAGTAACCAAGAGATTTTTCGTGAGAAATGGGGGGGGGTTGTTGGACTGCAACGCTAAAGAATTTTAAATCGATAGGAAATCCTGGAGCTGAATCTTAGGAGTGTGTCTAACGTGCACGTAAGCATTAAGGGCACATGGACATGAACTGTCAGCACACCTGCAGAAAATATATCTATGGCACTACCTATCATTTCACAAAATCGTCTGGAGACCGATCCCATAATGAGGCACGAATCACTCAAACAACCACAAAATGGAGAGACGGTAGCTGTCGCTGGGGTCACTTATTGCGTGCGTTATGAGTGGCTGAAAAGGCTAAGACTACATGCTTCCAGCCACTATATAGCAAAGGATGACTTTCGGGGCATTAAAATGGAAATATTTAAACATTCAAGGATAGACATTCAGACTGAAAGGCACTACGGTTTTCGTCGGAAAATCCCATCAGCTATGATCAACACTAATGTCGTTTATTTCTTAACTCCAAAGCTGACTGTTAGCCAGATACATTCCTGACAGGTGTTACTATCTTTCTGTCGGTTGATAGATTAAAGAATAGGCCTGTTGTCTGTGGAAAGCTGATCGGTTTTCGCGATCCCAACGATGGAGCATATCAGCTCCTAAGTCCTCTATTCAAATTAATTTTACCTAACTAACACTCATTGTCTTTTAGTTCTTACTTTTAACTCATTTCTTTTATATTATTTTCATAATTGTTCATCGTTTCTCCTTTGGCTACTGGCTGTCTTATGAATAGTTTTTTGGTCTCCCCTCTTCTTTCCACATCTAACCATCTACTCGATTTATTATATCTGTGAATCGATAGCAGGCGAAGTTCAACAATGATATCCCAGGAGTGTGAACTCTCCAATGACATTGAACGCATGCTAGCCGTTGGCTAACGTCATCTGTCATTATCATAGCTGAAATATCAGCGCCATTCGCCAACTTAGGAGCGAATTTCACCCAGATCACGTTTTTACCTACTGTTTGGACAATGTGTTAATAGCTTTTAAGGGTTAGGATTAGGGCTAAGATAAGCATTGTGATTAGGGTTAGGATTAGGGTTAGGGTTAGAGTCAGGATTAAGCTTATGATTACCATTAGGGATAGATTTATAGTTGATGTCATTATTTGTAATTTACAGTTTACAATTTATTCAGGATAGTAGGCTATATGCCTGTGTTAATCCTTTCGATTTGTTACACACAGGAGGTCCAATCTCGCCTCGAATGAATCAACGGATGGCGCTGATACGACGTGTTCCGGTAGGGAGTTCCAATGGTTCACAATTCGATGCGAAAAACAGATCTCCAGACGCAGACGATTCGACCGTGGTTTTTGAACCTTGAAGTGATGTCCTCGCAATTGGTTGGTGCTAGAAGGAAGAAATAAATTAGATAAATTAGCTCCAAAATCATTTCTTAGGATACGGTATGCTAGTATTAGGTCACCCCTAAGTCGTCTGTATGACAGTGGAGAGGGTTGAGAAACCCTTTATGAGCTTAGTTCCTACTCTTTGCACCCTTTCTAATAAGTCTATTTCGTATTTGAAACACGGGCTCGCTGCCTGGATCCCATATTCCAAATGAGGTCTGATATAAGTCGGATATAATATACGAAATATTTCAGCGTCAAAGTCCGCAAAAGCTTTGCGTATGGCCCATAATATTCGAAAACCCTTAGTGGCTGCAGCTCTACAGTTTGTTGCTGTTTTCAAGTCATGCTGCACAACCACTCCCAAGTCCTTATACTCAGTGACCATTGGGAGAGTAATGCCATTCATTGAGTAATTGTGCACGTGACTATGAGATACATGCATAACTACACTCTTGCTTAAGTTAATCGCCAAGGCCCAGTGCTTACACCAATCACTTAACAAGTTTAAATCTTCCTGCAAAGCAAGTTGATCACTGTCATCGTGTAAAGCCCTCCATATCTTGATGTCATCAGCAAACAGTAAGCAGGATGACTTAACTACCGATGGAATCTCATTAATATAAATCAGGAAAAGAAGTGGGCCTAGAATTGTACCCTGAGGAACGCCACTCTTAACCGATTCCCATGTTGATAAGACCCCGTTAACTCGTACTCTTTGTCTTCTGTCCTTTAGAAAGTCTTGAATCCAGTCGGCAACCACTTTATTGATTCCCGTACTACCTAACTTTACTAGAAGACCTGAATGAGGAACCCTGTCAAACGCCTTGCTAAGTTCGATGAATATGACATCCACCGGTATATTAGCATCAGCTGAGCTTGCCCAACTTCCTCTGGCCAAAAGAAGGTTGGTCAAGCAAGAATGACCTGCTCTAAAACCATGCTGTTCCACAGCGAAAAGTTTGTTCCCTTCAATGAACTGAATGATAGCATCACGAATTATTCTTTCTAGTAGTTTAACAACAATACTGGTCAAACTAACAGGACGATAGTTCTGAACCAAGTTTCTAGATCCGGTTTTGAAGACCGGACTAATGATGGCATCTTTCCAGTATCTTGGACATTTAGACTGGTCCAGAGACATATTGAAGATTACCGACAATGGCTCGGCTATGTTTTCAGCCAATGCTGTTGATATACGTGGGTGGAGTTCATCAGGGCCACTGGACTTACCAGGATTGAGCCTTAGAAGCCACTTTAGGACAGTATCCTTTCCAATATATAAGCGTACCATTTTCAAGTTACCTTCTGGAAAAGTTACAAAGCTGGTATCAATATTATCAGAGAATACTTGACTAAAGTGCTTGGACAAAGCCGCAGCCTTAGTCAAGTTATCCTCAGCCATGTTAGTCTGGTCATCTTCAAGCATAATAGGTGGGATAGCATCACTCTTACGTGTTCTTCTCTTGATATATGAGAAGAGTCTTTCTGGGCAGCCTGGTGAACTTTTGACTAACTGGGTTTCGTAAGCTATCCTTGACTGGTGAATCAAAGTTTTACATTGGTTTCTGGTTTCACAGTATTTCAGCCGGAACTGCTGTAGCCCAGTAGAAACAGAGAGATTCCAGAACCTTTTTCATATCAATTTGATATGATTATGAGCAATGGTTTGTGCTCGAAGCGTCATCAGTTAATATAACTGTACAACACAGTGTGATTTATCAAAATAAAATCTTAACCATTATGGAGTTATACCTAAGACATATTGTGTCAGGGCATTTTCCATGGTAGTCAAGAGTAATCGGCTGTCAAACTTATTAGCGGATCCTGGAGATGTGACAGTTACCCAGTCTATATCAGGTGCATTAAAATCACCTAGAATAAGACAGTTACTGTGTTTACTCCATTGTTTGAGGTGATCTAAAATAGAGTCATCACACTGACAATAGGGATTTCTATACAGAACTCCAATGAGTAGAGTGCCAGTTGCGAAGCTTACTTCACAGCTAATTACCTCACTTATCCCACTGTCATGCTCTTCAGATTTCACGGAACGAACATGTAGGGATTTGTTGATGTACAGAGCAACCCCGCCACCTCTACGACCCTTAACCCTGTCGCTGCGCAAGCAACTAAATCTGCATAGCTCAGGTGTGTCATCTAATCCAGAAACCAGCCATGTTTCAGTAATGGCCACAATACCTGGGATAAGGTCTTCCACTAATACACCTAGCTCGTGAAGTTTGTTCCCGATACTACGTATATTAGTTTACACTACCTTCAGGCTTCCTATGTGGTCCGGCTTATCCACACAGGTCTTGGAAGCATACGTTTCCAAGACCTGACTATTTGAAAACCCACCAGTTTAAGGTTAGTCTCACCATTTTTACGTCTTGTTTCTTGCTGGGACAAAACTTCTTTTCGTTTAAGTCTGTCTTCAAGAGATAAATCAGGTCTGACTGAAATTCCTGACCCAGCAAGGCTGTGTACATTAGCCAGTAGATGATTCCGTTCATCAGGAGAACCTAAGACTACTTTAAGCAACCTACGCTGATTAGAACATTGTTTTATTATCCACGTTTTCCTGGTAAGTAGTCGTCTGTCCTCTTGCTGGAAACCAAAGAAGTTCAACTGAAGCCTTTTTTGGAAGACTGCAAGCAGGATGAGAGATAAACGATTCACAAAAACAGTTTACCTGCAGTCACCTCGGTGAATACATGTACATGATACTCCTCGTTATATTTAGGACGTATTTTTAAGCCATGTCAGGGAAAGATAACCTGTTTAATGCGTTTTCAAGCGTTTTATTGTCAACATACATCATTTTTTGAGCAAACATTCTTCATTTTTAATGTTTGGTCAGCTGAAGGTCACTCGTGCGTTCTCACTCCTGGGACGCTATTGTTGGACTTTGCCCTATAACAATTTTCGAAGTCAGTCAAAGATATAGACAGGAAAGTTAGTGGCAAAACCAACAATGTAAGCTCATCAAAAATACATTGAATATTAGGTGACTACTAATCAAAAGTTTGCGGCACCGTTATTCTGTTCAAGGCCAACAGTGGGGTTAAAGTACAAAATGCCAAAACGTGTTAAACCGGAGATCAGTGCATCAGAAGAGATTGAATGTAAACGCAGAAATACTCTCTTCAGGTTGATTGGCTCAGATATTTCGGGTAAATACGCTTAGTGATGAAATATATCGTAGTTTTAATAAGTTTTATTGAGTCTGTCAGTGATGAAAATGTGGATGAAATCGTTACTGATGCTATACTCACAGGAGATGTTATGGGAATACTTAAATACCTAGATACTGGCCAAGACCGAAAGCACACTGAGGTGAGATTGCTTTTACAGTCCGCAATGTGTCTTAGGTTATTGCAGTCCTGAAGTCACTCTATATAATTATTTTGAGATCATCTCGTGAATTGGCTGCTAGTTTTCCCACCTTGGCCAGGGACTTAGCTGAGGGTTTTCTGGAGGATTCCCGCTTGTCATTATGTCTCAACTTGATGTGGAAGTCACAGAGTGCTGAACTTCTAAAAGTTTCCTTACAGCTTTTGGCTACTGTTGTAACAGTGAGTGAGGATTTGGCAAGAGGACTTTTAAGATCTATCGACTTCGAAAGTAAAACGATGACTAAGTGTTCGAAAAGAAGAAATCTGTTGGATAAATGTGATGTCCGAACTTGCTTTATAAATTTTTTGGCTTCCTTCGTATATCTAAACAGCAACGTAGTTCTAAGGGAATTAGTGGACAAAAAAGGTGAGAGTTAATCTAACATCATAAGCTTTTTTAAAGGTGCTTTGCATTTACTTGTATCTGAATCGTTTGTGGACAAATACTCAAATGTGATGCTGATCTTATGTGTCTTACAGAAAGTAAGTATATTTTCTAGTATTTCTTCTACATTAGGTGGCAGAGAACAGGTCAGTAAGCAAGACTCAAAGGGCTCGTATTTTTAATCGATACTGTCTCCAGAGATTGGTATCTCTTTACTTTTGGCGTGGTGAAGGGAAGAGCGTAAATGAGGTGTTGAAGAAAGGCGATGTTGATGTGAATGAGAATGAAGTGTCCTCAGTCAGGTGCGCGGTACACAAACTTCTTCTTCATCTCTTCACATCCAGTCGTCTTGGAGTTGTATTCTCAACTAAGTTTGACAGTGAAATGTAAGTTCTGCCGGTAGCCCAAACTGTTTTCTCAGGCTTTTACCATTGCAATGTATGCTTTTTCTTGTATTTAGATCAGTTAAGTAGACTTTCAATCATTGGCCAGATACCCTTAGTTCTAATTCGCACCCATTCACCTCAAACTGGTAGCTACAAAATTCGATAAGTGTATTCTACACTAATTTTGACAGATTAACTTTCTGTAGCTTTCTTAAAGTGATTGGAGTATCACTATATAACTTTGCACATGTGTGTACCGTTGTATGTTTTAACATTTTGAAAAGACGTACATAAAAGCAAACAAAACATACGATGAGCAACCATGGCAAAGAAAGTATTTAAAGATGGTTAGAGGAAGCGCAGAATTTCAATGAAAATGAATTCATGCATCCGCACTTATCAGGTACTTCACAGATTAATATTTAGCATTTTCAAGATCCAAGGTAGGCAAACATCACCAGACGTAGTTTTTCTGACTAACAACCAGTCTGTTCGTAGCTTATCGCCATACTTCAGTATTACATACTCTGAACTGACCTAAAATTTTCCTGTTTGTGAAGTTGAATCATGGTTAAATTCAAATTGTATCAGTTAATACTATGATGGAACCGCATAGTGTTTGTGTTATTTTATTTTTCCTTAGTCAGTACAACGGGTTAATACTACAATGTCTAACATGTGCTCAGATGGATGGTGCATATATGGATCCTTTACGTACCGAACTAGTTGTCAAGGCACTTTGTAAATGTCCAGACGTGTTTGTACCTTACCTAGATCATTTGGCTCCAACGCTTTATCCTCGTGATTCATCCGGTTGGTTTGGTGTAATGGACTTTGTTCTGCAGGTGAGTTATTTTTATTATCGTTTTAGGGTGATTTCCACCTTGTTCGACGTAGATTTTTCTGTACAGAGTACTAGCTGTATGTATAATGGGAAATGTGCAGTTTTCAGGTCACTTGCATGGTGGCCCTAAGTACTCATGCAGTGATGTATAGGTTTCATTTGTGGGATTTTTGATAGACTCTATCAGGAAAATTAGGTGAACCTTTCAGTTCCTGTAACAATCTGGTGATTTGGAAAGTTAGTGTATAAAATAAATAGTTGCAGAATTATCGTTACAACCAAAAAAATTTTTTTAACTGAAAATAGTTTTTTCTTCATTGGTTCTTAAATCCTGCTTTAGTTTTAGTTAGGCAGCTTGGTGCTGGTTGTGATACTGAGGAAAAGTTTTAAGATTCAATTTAGCTGTGTAAACATAGTCTTAATCCTTGCAATTTTTCTTTGACCAGTCGTCAGATAAATGGTTCATCATGTGAAATCCTCTTAAAATAGATTTACCACTATTTAGTTTTAGTTTAAGAGCAGTATACATCCGAGGATGTAGTACAATGGATTTTGGTTGAGGAAAATTTTAAAAAATATGTATGAGGTATTTGTGAAAATCTAGGATTATTCAATCACTGAAGTGAATATATCCACTTTAAGTGGCAATATTATAGTGGGAAATAGTAATAATAATATGAAATCCAGTAAATCTGAATAAGTATATATTGTACAAATTTCATATATTTTAGAGGAAAGTGATCAGTTTTAAAGATTGGTCTTAGCTAGTTGACTATGCTAGTAAGATAGGATCTAACAAGCTCTGTGTGAGTGTATAGGTGTGGTCTTAAGTTGTTTAGTAGTGTGTTAAGTGCAATCATAAAGCATTTGAAATATTCAATAGGTTTTTATAAATATTAATAAATAAGCATTCTTGAGTGGCTTGAATCAGTTCAATGTACGGCAGATATTATAATTAATCTTCAATTTCTTTTGATTAACTGTTTCGAGCAGTGCTTTTCATTGTGAAGCATAGGAGCACATTACAAAGCAACATTGATCTTGTTACATTAGGCATCTTATGATCACTACCGGAGGTTTTTCATCTTTGAAGTCCATAAATTTTAAATCCAGAAATGTCTACTCTTTTGGAACAGTACTGCTGATTTTTAAATTGTGTTTGTTTCGTGTTTCTCAATAAGCAGTATTTTCATTTCCTGTTCCTTATTAACATGAAGTGGGCTGTACTGTAAAACTTGCGTTGGAGATTGTGTAACTAGACTGTTTCCTGAGTACACCTAGGCGTATCTGCAATTTTTAAATTTTAAGGTAGAATATACCTGAAGTAAGATGTATCGTTTCAGCTAACACGTAGAATTTATTCGAATCACTTCACTAGTGCCTTATATACTGCCGTTCTACATACAGCATGTATCAACAGCGAGGTTTTCTAGAGTTCTGGTGGAACCTGACTGTTGTCCGATTCGTACCAATGTAAGAATGTTTTAGATGGGAAGCTTGAAACTGAAACGTCTTGACTAGATAGCCGTGTCAAGTGTTACTGGAGTCAAGCCTTCTGAAGCTTCTTTTAGTATAAACGGAGATTTCAAACACCAAAGAGCCGCTGATGAGAGTAAAGATATTAACAAGTATTGAGATAAAACAAAAGAGGACAGTTCATAGATGACAATAATCGATTTAATGACTGGCTGATCAGGTAGTAGGTATGGCATGCTGCGAATGCGTAGGACTCATTTGAACTTTCTACTGAATTGTCGCAGAATATTACATGTGAGGGTTAAGGTGCTACCCGACCCTCTGGACAAAAAATAAATATGTAGATTGCTTTATCCAAGTATTTTTTGCATATATATATATATAATCTGTATCACATCATCACAGCACCTTTAAAGTGAGTCGACCACTAAGTAACCACACAGACACCACTGTATTGTTATCCTTTTTTTAACAGATTATTATAAATGGAAAATTTCACCTCAGAGTGAGCTAATTGTAGATATCCACACAATTATTTGTAAATTATGCGGTTGTCATGGGAATTACATTCAGAATAGTAACGAAACGGTAGTTGCAGTCAGATAATACATCTTCGTTGCATAATTACTTTATTTAACATACAGTTCACTATTCAGTAACAGATTTGTATATGCACTTCTACTTAGCATATATGTTAAATCAAAAGTATCTTATTTGTTTTCCTCAGTTTACCCTTGCATATGTTTAGAAACATGGTTTCCGTATGAAATATGACTATTTTTGATACCATGTAGTTTAAAATTGTTCCATATTCCTTCAGCTTTACCAGTCAGTTGGCAAATACATTCTTCAATTCATTGTAAATGCACTAAGTTATTCACTCACCGTCGATGTTATGGCGAATGCTATTACTAACTTCTGTGTTTTGTCACCAAAAATGGTTGACCCAATCAGTCAAGCTGTGAAGGTTGGTGTTTTTTTTTTAAAAATTTCCTAAGTTGTCATTTAAATAACAGTGGTTCTGCTAATGAGGATTACAAAGCAGAATAATTTGATTAAAATTTTTTAATTTCTAAAATCTATTATTGTTTTAATACATATTGAAGTATATAGAGCCGACCAAAAATCGCATAAAGAAAAGTCACTCAGTTCATGAAACTTTATTCAATTTACGTTTTATGCACAAATAATCTGCATTAGTTTGTCAATCTTCTCAGTAATTATGAGGCTACTTTGTTTGAGTTTTATCCGTCTCCCTGTTTATAAAGCCAATTCAGTTCAAAACATCCGACTTCTGACCAGCTGCTTGGGCGAACTGGTGTTACCATGATTCCGATTAGTTAGCAATTAGAAAATTTTGGATTTCACTTTTTTTATTCAGTCCCTCATTATGTAAATTTTCGCGTAGTCAGATGCCTTAATTTGGACAGACACAATTCATCACGTTGATGAACATCTGAGATGTTTAATCATTTAGTTCATTGGTATATGAGGATCTTATTTCGGTTCCAAGATAAATTTCATTATGAATTAACGTGAAATATAAAGAACTACCAAAATGAGATCCGGATTTTCAACTCCAATGTGAAGTCAGTGCTACTCACTATACGGATCAGAGACTTGCACTGCGCGTCATAAAGAGCATCTCAAACAAACTACAGACCTTCATTAACAGTTGTCTTCGCTCAATACTCAAGATCAGATGGCCGGCCAGGAAAGATCAGCAACAGAGATCTCTGGCAATGAGCGAACCAACCAGGAACCGATTGTGGAAAAATAGGCAGGAAGAAGTGGAGTTGGATTGGCCATACTCTGAGGAAACCATCAAGTGAAATCACTAGACAAGCCATTGCTCGAGTGGAACCCGAAAGGGAAGCGGCGAGTTGGTCGTCAGTGCAAGGGTGACTTGGAGGAGGTCATGGGAAGAGGAGATGAAATCGTGTGGGCAGACATGGAGCCAGGTGAAGACTCTAGCAGAGAACCGAACACAATGGAGACGCATGGCTGAAGCCCTATGTTCCTCTAGGAATTAAAGGAAACAATAATAATAAATGATACCAAAATGAGGAGCATTGGATGGTTGCTTCATCTTCGTAATGAGAACTACCATATGTTTGTATATATATATATATATATATATATATGTACACTTTTTTGTTCAAATAATTAGTATTGTTCTCATTGTTGTTGGATTGAATTTCTCTTGAAATAAACATCGATACTGCTGTTCGAACAATCTGAACAAAGAAAATGTTCCTATCATGTGTACAATACAAAATTATGTATCGATTTCAACCTACTGAATGCTATACATATATATATATTTATGAGTTTTAAAAGGTTGCGGAGTGTGCATAGTCATGCAGAGTCAGGAAGTATAAGATTAAAGTGTATTATTATGCAAAATTTTTTAAAATCTTTTTGCCTTAATCTTGTATTAAACTACAAGTGTTTGTTAACAAAAACTTTATTATTTCTTCTGAAAGTATAATGAATCCTCTAGGGTTAAAATCAAAGCTGTTGAACTAATGACCTGTTTAAGACAACAGTTGAAAATACCATTAACCTGGCTGACGTTAAACCAACTACCGAGCGGTACAGGTTTCACCTCTGATCAGTTAAAAGCAAAGATTGAGATGTTTATGCGTGAAGTAAGTTTGTGTTTTCTGTTTACTTTCTATTATACAAACAAATTAATATATATATATATTATATATATATATATATATATATATATATATATATTAGTTGTTTGAAATCGAAAGGCTGTACATGTTAATCGAACATTCATACAGTGTTGTATCAGTGTGTACATCAATCCATATACATCTTTCGATGAAGAAATTTTGTAGTAGGAAGTGACGCTAAATTGTCAACAGCTTACCTATTTGTATTAATACCAGCCTTCACGTATTACTAACCATAAAGTAATTCAAAGCGTTGAATTTCATTCGGTCGATTAGTTTATTGTGGCTAGTTTATTTTTTCGCTTAGTACCAAATCAGTTGGTATACCTTTTTGAAAGTATGCTATACGATTACTTACGAAAGAAAGTATTCAACTTCATTTAATAAATGTAACAGTCCACTTATAAGCTGTGCAAGACGTACACTTCTTTGTGTGGCTTAACATCAGTCTCTGTTTATTGAAGACTGACCTGACGGAGAGAGTTTCAGATTTGATCGTGAGTTGACACCAGTTAGAAAATCATTGGGAAACCTGCGAGTAGTGGACAACTGTTTAGTCCTGGTTTGTGACTATTCAATAGTTACGCACCCACTGGTTTCAACATAGAACTGTACAGAAGTGCAGCGATTCAAGTTGCCGTACTCCATGTAAGAGAGAGAGGGAGGAAAAGTGATTCAAAAGAATTATGATAAACAGAGATGTGTGGGAGTAAGGATGATAGCATGGAGACAACATGAAGATTTAATGAATTTGAGAAATTGCAATTTTTAAACATTGTAGATGTTTTTTAAATAACATTCGATCATCAGGAATAAGTTTATACGGAAAGACAGTGTGATGTTGTTTCATTTAAATGACTTTGTAAACACTGCAAACCTGGTCTGCAGACTTGGAACTTGATAGGAACTTGATAAAATCATGTATTCTCCTTTGATGTCAATTCTGAGCTATCTGATTTCATTACTGATTCAAATTATTCAAGAAACCAGGGAAATTAAAGGTTGTCTAAAGGGTTTGGATCATAGTTCGAGTCTTCTCAATGGGGGATGCTTGTACTCATTTATGCTGACATTTAACTAGGTGACTAGTGACTGTGACCATCTTGTTACCTGCATATTTTTCTTCTTGTTAATTTATTCTCAGTGTTGATGTGTTCCATTAGCATGTATGAGTGTACTGTTATCTGCAATTTTAACTATTCGTTTATTGTTCAGTTGAAATCCAACTGATAATATCTTGATACTCCGGGGGAATTTCTTATCCAAAAAGATAAAATTATCCCAGGAAACATGAAGATGGATGTATTGAAGCAGTCATCTGATATGGTTCAAGGGGTATTTGTTACCCCCTTCCTATCTTGACTTGTCCAGGAGACTACTTATTTCCTACTACTCCTTCAAAATTCAATGGCACACAAGATCCACTGCATTTTACAAAAAAACATCAATTTATGTTATGTCACTTACAGTTTCGCTATTTCTTCGTTTGTAATGCTAATAAAATAAACTGTGCAATGCGTCATAATTTTTGATAGTTTCATAGTTTCACTTCTGTCTTTTAATTTTCTTCAAAAAGCGTTTACCCGGGACAAAATGGTTGAATCGTTTCAAAAAGGTATTTGATGAGACTTTGAACGATCAAAGCATATTGGCTGATCAGATCCTAACTTCTAGCAATCAGGATGAACCTGGTAACCCTTTATTATACTATTGTTTTCTTTGATCATTCATATCAGTGGATATATATATATATATATATATATATATCACACCTTGGCGACGTGGTCCACTGGCTTAAGCGTTTGATTTTCAACCAGGGGGTCCCAGGTCCCTAGTCCTGCTCCACCCACGTCAGCTTGAGCAACTTGATGGTGTCACTAGTTCTCACACGATAAAAGTTTGACTGATGGCCTTGAATATGACACTCGAAGATCTACAGGTGAAAACCAACAAGTTGGCAGAAGAAGCATGGAAGACAGGACTTCACGCGACTCGAGAGAATACACAGGTGATGAGGATAACTAATCAACAACAAAAAGCGCCAATCACTATCAACAGAAGAAATTTCAAGGGGGTCACTTCCTTCACTTATCTAGGGATTGCTGTTCTAACTACAGACGACAACATGGATAAGGATACCAAAGACAAAATGGGAAAAGCAAGGAAGACATTCTGTACTATGAAATCAGTTTGGAAATATTCTATACTCAGAATAAAGGACGAAATTCGGGTTTTAGACACCAATGTTAAGTCAAATCTTCTATATGGGTCAGCAACTTGGCGTGTCACGAAGAGTATTTCTGGCAGACTGCGGACTTTTATCGATCCATCCTAAAGACGACATAGTCTAAAAGGATCAATAAAAAGGAACTGTAGCAGTGAACCCACGAAGAACCTATTACCCAAAAAATATCCTGGAGAAAATGGAAATGGGTTAGACACCCTCTGAGGAGACTGTTGAGTGACATCGTGTGCCAGGCCATTGCTCGAATGAGGTCCGAATGGAAAACGGCAAGTTGGGCTTCCTAGAGTGACACGGAGTAAATTGTGTGAGGTGGGGATGGGAGCTCATGGGCAATCGTGGAGCCAGGTATAAAGGACTACGGAGAACAGATCAAAACAGAGAAGTGTTGTTGAAGCCGTATATTCCACTCATAACCCATATTTATGTGTATGCCAGTTTTGTCGGTGTTACCTGTTTGTCCTTAAATGCAGTGTATTTCCATAATAGTCAATAGTTTTATATACTATCCAAATTTAGCCAATTAATCCAAAATTAAGTGCTTGCGTATCTGAACGTACGGGGCTACACTTTTAATCAATACGGTAATTTGTCTAATTTTCTCAGTAATTATGCTATGTCTGAATGAGAGCAATTTCAAAATAATTTTTACCATAAATCAACATCAACTGGGAAAGTAACAAAGAAAATTACACTGAAAAGCTGTGCCCTTTCACCATGTAGTCACGAGATTGGAATATCTTATTGATGTTTTTCAACTTGTGTCAACTCATACTATAACCACTGAAGTCAGTTTAATTGGAGAGGGAAGGGAGAGTGTATGTACATTTATTTATTGCTGATGATATATGGTGGCAATGTTTTATATTTCTAACTGATACAATTTGAAAAACACAACCCATTGACTGTTAGGTTGAAGTCTAGATGACAAAATTGACTTCTCGAAACTTAACAGCTCTCTGAAGTCGGATTTACACAGATTTTTCCGCTCTATTTGATGCTCCTTTTCCAATGATTTTTTGGCTTTATTTATGCTGAATGCCACTTTTATAAACGTACATGTTCAGCGGAATGAAAATTGTACTCCAGGAATTTCAGTTCGATTTTTCAAGTAGCGCAGATATTTCCAAACTTTACATTTATCCTAAAATATCTTAACTTAAGTATGGGTGTGGTTTTGAAACACCTAATTTTTGTCGCCAACCTTACACATGTGTATACACCTTGTACTCTGTGAATTATCGTGTAATCGTTTGTGTTATATTAATTTGTTGATATTTGCTTTTCAGAGGAGGTTGTTGAAGAGGAACCGGTAAAAGTGGAGGATATGGTAGAATCTGTCAATCAGTCTCTGAAAGATTTGCCTAAAAGTATGTCTATTATTCCAGAAAAAAAAATTGATAAATGCATATTATTCTAGAAGTGAGAAAAGCATTCAAACTGTTTGAGAAGTTCTGTATTCCCAATGACTGTGATAATAACATACCTGAAGATTTGTTGGATACTTTAAGCGAATTACCAGAATTGACTAAAGTGTGTTTCGAGTAAGTTATTTTGTTTCAACTAATTAAGAGGGTGTCTACTGCTACCTAGTTAGCAAATTGTTGTTTTATTCCAGAGATTTTTGTGAGAAGTATATTGAGTATTGTGTACATTATGGTGGATATTGATTAACAGGTGTGAATAAGGAGTGCTTAATTGTCTCTCCCTCTCCCTCTTCTTAAAAGTTAGTGATCTAGACTGCACTGTCAGGCACCATTTACAGATGACCTTTTGTAATTTAACACAATAGCTAATTTGTAATGCAAACTTCTGGATATAATTTTGAATTGATAATTGTATGTTTTAGGGAATATTCATTATTCATTTCATCAGTTATGTTAACCTAAATATCTGTGGCCAAATTATGATTATATTGAGATAAATATTGTCGTCGTAGTTTGTCAGTCCAAGTTATGACGAGATCGAGTGTGCGAGTACAAAATAATTAACAAAAAGGAAGAGTCAGACAAGGCAGTTCCATTTCAATAAAGTTTTTTTTGCATGACGCATTTTTAGTTGTATCAAGGAATTTTAGTTCAGTAGGTGGATAAATGATTACTGACTGACTGGTTTCAACGTAGAACTTTGCACAGATGTGCAGCAGTTCGAGTTGCTACACTCCCTCCATGTAGCACACAAAGCAAGATAAGGGAGCAAAGAGACATAATAAACAGAAGTAGGAGGGAGGAAGAATAGTAATATGGAGGAACAATAGAGTTTTATTGGATATGATAAATCTAAAAGAGTGAACGCGTCTGCGCCATTGAGGTTGATTTTACGCCAACCATTGGTTCTTAGCATCGTGAGGACTCCAACCCACCGAGTAGGAAGTCTACACCTCCCTACGTGTCTGTTGTGGATTTCATTGACTGATGAGGCCATGTTTTGTTTTAACCACCACTGGCTCTTTTCCAACCTGGTCCTATGTCAGGTAACATTGCCCGTTGGGGAAGGGGATGGATGGCTAGGAATGCATGCGTAACACATGTCCTAACCATCTCAGTCGATGTAACTTGACAACATCGTCGTCGATTGATTTTCCCTGCTAACCTAGCACTCGACCGACGCCTGAGCTGAGTATTGCTCACCCTATTATATCTCTTCACATGGGAGATAGAAATGAGACACCTATGATCACAGACAGCTAGCCAGGCTTTTGATGTCTTCCACTTTCAATGATGATGTCTCGCTGACAGCGAGCAAAAAGGAGGATGGGAGCGAAGTGTTGTGCAATAGACACGTCGTTTGATCGATGGATAGCCAGCGGGATTTGACGTCTACTAAGACGGAGGTGGCGTAAGTCGCCGAATGCTGAAGGAGCCTTCTGTATCCGTGCTGGGGTCTCGTGAGGCATCAGTCGGCTGGGGGCTGATGCAACTTTCCAAACACGCTCCACCACTTCACTCTCTGTTTTTAAGCCAACTAGGAATCAATGTGGTCCAGTCCTGTAGCATCATCTTACATTTGATAAGAGCGAATCGCATGCCAAACATTCGAAAATTTCTGTTCCAGGTGTTCAGAAGACTCTGCATTTTATCTACGTATTTATCACTTAGGAGGAGAATATCATTTGCATTTTTTAAGTCGACGAGATTATTCCCTGGTAGCAAGTTAGTTCCTGAGTGGCTGAAGTCAGTTAGGGTTGTGTTTATTAGTACGTCTATGATGAAATTAAACAGAACTGTGGACAGTGGGCATCCCTGAGGGACACCACTAGTTGTCACCACTTCAGATGACAACTCTCAGTAAGCTCTCACCTGGCTGCATGAATTCGAGTCGAGTGCCTTGATCAGTGAGATGTATTTTCTCAGCATTCCCAGTTTTACAGATACTCTTTTATCACAAACTATTCCCACGAAATGTGATTTATTTAATATGATTGCATAACCACGTGTTAGGTGAAATAATAACTTACGATAAAAAGTAGTAGTGTCAAATGTCAGAGAATAAGGATAAATATGGAGTGGTAGATAAATAATAAGTCATCTATCTTAACGATCACATGCAAATTTATGCACTAGACAATATTCCACAGCAGTTTTGGAGGTATGTTGTACCACCTGACAGCCTAATTTTGGTATTGAAGACAAGATTCATAACTCACCTGTTGAGATTTGATTACGCTAATATTAAGTACAGATGTTTAAGAAAACAAGTGATCCAAATTGTGAAATAATTACCTTATAAGTAGAAAATTCACAGTCGGTTACTTTTAGAAATTAATTAAATTTTCCTCCATTCATAGCTCCATGAAACTAAAACATATATGGTATCTCGGTTTGTTGTTTTTCTTTAGTCATACCAGTAATACTGATAGTTATATATTTTGATCAGATGTCACGACCTATGAGTTCCATCAGATTGAGTATAAGGTCAGATGCTCGTAGGTAATCCTCAAAAGTTAGAATTCTCTAGCTGTTGGGTTCCAGCCCACTGGTTGAATGATAGGCGTGCGTATCTCATTTTTAGTTCCATCTCTAGTGGGATCGTGTGTGTGTGTGCTGCGAAAGGGTCACGTAAGAGCTGTCCTGGTTTTAAGTGGACTCGTGACGGAATTTATTTTAAATGTACATATTCGCGTAACTTTTCTGAACTCGGATTTTTAATTAGCATTATATTCACAATCAGTACTAAAATTCTGAAATATGTAAAGTCGTTTCTACCTACTTATTAATGGGTTCTTTTGACTGTCAGCTTTTTACTACATTGACTGAAATGTACTGTTTTATATGCGATTCGCTTTAAAAATGTATATGCTTGTAAATTTCTACTTAGTTAAATGGATGGATATGTATTCAGCTGGCCTGAGTGCATCCATAGATTCTGAATAATTAGGAATTTGCTTGAATCCATACTGTACCTATTAAAGCAATGTAATAGTCTGACTGACCTTGAAACGCATATAGCTTAGAGTTCGACCCTTGGAAGGAAATGTTTTTGAGACAATGAACTTTCAGTAACACTCTAGTTACCATGTTCATCAGTGTGAATATAGCACTAACGAGGTTATTTGTATCACCATCAGCATAATTTGATGCTGTATCTCCAATAATCACTTGCATTTCCGTGCAGTTAGTAATAAGTCAAGCCTGTTGTGTGACGGTTAATCATACTATCTGGCTGTTATGCCTCGGTGGGTAAAGCCGATTTGAGCATATGATTCATTGTTTGGATGTTGTGCTTCACTACTCTACAGAGCTATTTTAATCTACTTAAATGCTGTGCGAGTCACTTTAATTTAGTGGAATATGCAATCATATATACACATATATATTATTGTTTTCCCTTTTTTCATAGAAATTATTCAACATATCCAGTGGTGTACCAGTACTTGTCGAAGGCTATTCACCTGATGTATAATAATCCTTCTTTGTCTTCATTACACAAACCAAAAGTATTCTTAAGCTTATTGAAAAATCATGTAAATCTAAATTCAATACTGTCGAGTAGTAAATTGCCTAAAGTGGCGGACGATTCGAAATATGCAACAAGTAATTTGTCTACTACTCAGGATAATTTACTAAAAGGTAATGTAGATGTTTTTATTTTTATATATCTCACTGATTTATCCTATTTATGTAATTATTCGATGAAAACAGCTGTTTCCACACTCCTTTTTTTCTCTTTCTCTACGGTTGTATCTGTTTCATTGTAGAAAATTTATTCAAATTTCTATTGGAGATAGCTCATGTTACTCCGAAACTCGTGTTCAAATCGATTCCTGTCCTATGGATTTTGGCTGCATACAGTGGTACAATGAGCTCACTTGGTAAGCCTTTGTAGTACTTAATAAACTTGATATATTTATCAGCTATACATATATATACATGTTTCAGCTAGAAATTGAATCTAACATCTTTGTTTTTTCCTTGAGCAGTTTATACAACTGTACCGTGATCATAATTTTTTGAAATTTTCGCGTAAAAACCGTATACTACTGATCGACCAGTAGTAGTAATCTAAATCGAACTGTGTAAATTACAAACTGCTAATTATTATTACTTTATTCCTTTACATTCCCAGTGGAACATACGGCTTCAAGCTAGAGGCTTGAAGTTTCTGTAGCACTGGTGTTTATTTTTACGGGATGAGGTTGCTAGCCTCATGCCCAACCCTCTCTCTTTACTGGCTTATCGAGATAAGGGAGTGCGTCTGTGGCCGGGGATCGAATTCCGAACCGCATGAGGCGTGGTTGGCGGGCATTCTACTGCTGTGCCACCGACGCGAGCTAATTATAATGCATATTGTGAATTTGATTTAAGGTGTTATCAACTCGCCCAAGTAGCTAGCCAGACTTATTCGGTGGTCTCAGCTGAGTCAAATCGGGTACACTGCTGGTGAAGTAGACCCCTGACGACCGGAATGGCCGTCCAGTGTTTTAATATCGCCTCAATCTGGTTGATGTGAGTGGTATGAAACGACTCATCTCAATCAATCAATAGTATGGCACTTTACGCATTTATGCTTTCTTGATCACTATTTGTGACATCTAGTGGATCACATACTGCCATCTGAGTGATTTCGACTGCCGAAGAAAACTGGTAAAATCTCACGGCTCAAACTCTGAGTAAATTGCAAATCACTTCTTAAATTGGGAATTCGATTTCTGAAATTTTTTTTCGAAATTGTTACTCAGTCACCTCCTGTCATCATATATTGATGTGTAGCTGTTCGGATCAACAAATACGGCCATACTGTCATATAGTGTCTCCTGTGTTCCGACCATCAAATACGTAAGCTTACAAATACGATTGCTGTGTTAGATTTGTTTTCACTTTAGCATAGAATGCATAGTCATGCATTGACTTCTTATTAGTTAACATTCTATTTTTCATTCCAATGATTTCAAATAGAAATGTTTTTGTTTCTTTAAGTTTTGTGTGTGTTTCTCAGTAGTTGTATTAGTTAAGCGCTTTTTAACATTACTTACGTGAAAAGAGGCATTTATGTTGGTTTTTTTTTCAATGTTCATATTTGTTTTGAAGATCGAACTATCTTGAAGTTATTCTACGTATTAGAGAAGTACTCACCAGGATCACTACTTCAGTGCAAGTAATTTCCATTGGTTTTTTCTCTCCTTTGTTTATGCTTCTTTTGTTTGTTTAAGTTATCTTTTTCAGTTTGGTAGTTATGCTTATTCTTATTTAAAGTGAAATGTGATTGCCAGCAATCTGTTTTAGAAACCCGGAATTATATACACATTTCCATTACAATTTTGACATTACAAATTTGAATGCTTTATGATATATGCTGCAAATTCACGACAGTGGTTCGAATCATTCACACTAACCATTAATTTCTAACATGCAAAGTGACCAGAAATCCTGGTAGCTGGAATGACATTTGAATTGTTTAAACTATTCACATCTTTTAACTGCTTGCATTGGGACATATCGTTGTTGAGCTTAGGCCTACACGAGTAAAATGACTGTCTGGCGTTCACAAAACCACAGTCTAGTTAGCATAAGTTGTTTTCAATTACATTTAAACAACCAGTGATAATTACATATATATATATATTTACGAGTTGATCACGGACTGATATCAGTTAGAGAACCATTGAAAACTAGGGAGTACTGGACAGCTGCTGTTTCATCCTAGTTTGGGAATCATCGGCAGTACGCACCAACTGGGATTAGAACCCAGGACCTTCCGGTTACAAGGCAAGCTCGTATACCATTCAGCCACTGGGACCTGATTCAATGGCTCATGAATTCTAACTTCTAACTGATATCAGTCCGTGATCAACTCGTAAAAACATAACAAACCCTTACAAACCAAACTATATATGTACATATATATATACATATATATAGGATCAGATGGCCGGAAAGAATCACCAACAAGAAACTATGGGAACAAACAAAACAAGAACTAATCGTCCAACAAATATGCAGGAGAAAGTGTAGATGGATTGGACACTCGCTGAGGAGGCCGTTTGATGACTTCGCGCGTCAGGCCAACGCTCGAGTGGGACCCGAAAGGGAAGCGGCGGCGAGTGGGACGTCGGTGCAAGGGTGACATGGAGTAGATCGTGTGAAGAGGAGTTGAAACAGTATGGACTAACATGGATGCAGGTGAAAAGTACAGCAGAAGACAGAAACAAGTGGAGACGTGCAGTTGAAGCCCTATGTTCCACTAGGAACCCAAGGGAACAATAATATATATATATATATATATATAAACCGTCAGTATTTGCGTTAGTCACGCCTTCACGATTAACAAAGAAGCTTATCCGTCCTACCCCATATATCTGTTAGGCCTTTTTCATAGACTGATAAGAAAGTATTCTTCTGTTGATTCAGTAAGTAATAATATGATCAATCTTAGATATTAAAAGACTGCGCTTCAAATTAATTCCTCTATATAATGTTCATCTGGATACGAAACTCCGCCCGAAACAAGCTGGCTGGATTCAGGGAAGGCAAATCATGTGGTGCTGATCAAATTGCAACTCTACGCATCGTCATCACAGAACAAAGCATAGAATGGCAGTCAAACCTCTCTCTGCCTCAATTTCATCGACTCTGAAAATGCCTTCTCCAGACAGCGTTGACTGGGAAGTAATTTGGAAACTACTTGAACACTACGACGTGCAGTACTTAAAGTCTTTACTTTATCAACCTTATTCAACAGCTGGTTATATGACAGTGCCACGTGTCAGGTGATTCACAACGGACAACTCAGCGGGGCGATCAAAGTGAATACAGGAGCAAGAAAAGCTGGCTGCGTATTATCACCGATGATATTTTTAATTGTGGCGGACTGGATTATGCATCAGACAATGCGTTTGGAGCCAGAAGACAGGAATGCGCTGGACCACCGATAAGAAGACTCAAGAAGATCTGGATTTCGCAGGTGATATATGTCTCATGTCATCTCACAAAGTCGAAGACTTACAGGTAGAAAGCAACAAACTGGCTCAAGAGGCTAGCAGCAAAGACAGGATTACAGGTGAACATAGAGAAGACGGAGGTGGTGAAGATAACCACGCACCAACAGCAAAAACAACAACCAGCACCAATCACCATCTACGGGAGAGATTTGACACAGGTTGCCTCCTTCACTTATCTAGGGAGCATCGTTTCAACCACAGGCAGTTCGAACGAATGAAGATGTCAAAGCTAAGCGGAATCCGAAAGGCAAGATACACATGCCTTTATCAACCTGAAACCAGTTTGGAAATCTGCACTCAGTCAGTATAAAGAACGAAATTCGAATTTTCAACACAAATTTAAAGTCAGTCAGTTCTCTGCGGGTCAGAAACTTGCACTGCATGTCGTGAAAAGCATTTCCAACAAGTTACAGAGCCCACTTCGCTGGCTCCATACTGAAAATCAAATGGCCAGCGGCCGACCAGAAAGAATGAGCAACAGGAAACTCTGACTGATAACAAACCAATCAAGAGCCAATCGCTCAACAAATATGTAAAAGAAAATGGAAATGGATTTGGCACATGCTGCGCACAATGCAGGTCATCTCTCGAGTGTAATCCCAATGGGAAGCGACGAGTGGGTCGCCAGTGCGAGGGTGACATGGTAGAGATCGTGTGGCGATGAGAGATTATGTCCAATTGTGGACCCAGATGAGGAGGACAGCAGGGAATAGAAGAAATTGGAGATGTGTTGTTGAAGCCCTATGTTCCACTCGCAGCTCGAGCGAATAATAATCAATGTTCATTCGTTTTCGTAAGATAAGATGTTGCAAATCAAAATTTGCATGTAACAATCAGGCTAATTATGTAGTTTTATGTTTTAAATTGTGGCTTATTGGTTGGATTCTTGATTGTCAAACATCAAACAAGGTTTGAGCAGCGTGGTAGTATCGTAAACCGTTACTCGCTAGACGGGGCTTATTGTCATTGGCACGGGCATGATATATACATGTTTGTTGTATAGCCTTGTATTCTCTGACGCTTATCGTTAAATCCTTTCAACTTTTCTTTTGATATCTGAAAAAGATACATCATTTGGGGTCCAAATGTATATAAACATTGTCAATTCGACGTACAAGGTAACAATTTGATTGAACCAACATTATTACTTGAACCAAATGTAAATACCTTATTCACCATGTTGGATGATCACCAGCTGTTAGATTCAGCTTTTAACTTTCCCATGTATCGGAAATGGTTTGTAAGTTGCTTGGATGATTTACTTTACTTATTTGTTGGTATTGAAATAACTTTTAGAAGAAAAAAATATCAGCTTCAAAAACAATTTATGCACATTTTTTTTTCGTAGGCATTATTATAGTATGTAAAATTGACGTGGAAAAAAAATGGAATATTAACTTTAACAAGTTTTAATTAGCAATAATAAAATATTGAATCTCGCCTTTAAATTCACCTAGGGCAAATATCAGCATTTTATATTCGTAGGTACATTCGTTATCTTTTATTTTCTGACTACGCTTCGATTTTTTTTCCACCGCTCTATCCTTGTGTTGTTTCTTTGTCCGGCAGCAGTTTTATTGGCTATAGGTTACTTTGACGAGGTAGTCGGGCTTGCATTTCTCAATCACCCGACAACCTGCACTGACTGAACCCGATGTTCTTGAAGGTCTTATCATGCCAGACAGGTTGTTTGGATGGAAGTTAAGCTAAAAGTAGTTACCGTCATAATGTAAGTTGTCGTGGTTCGTACTGATGGGGAATAGGGGTGTAACATCATTAAGGTGTTTACTTCAGATGACCAGCATGCCGGCAATACCGCTTCTTCGCTGATGAGAGGACGGGGTGTTAGAAAAGGTTGACGCCGAAATTTGCGCATCTCGACTTACGTCTTGGAGGTTCATAGCCAGCTGTAGGATCTTATACGGACACAGTTTCAAAAACCACTCCAGGCGGACTGAGTGTGACCGACCCCAAGCATTTTTCCACTGGACTTGGGAGTCACGCAACACTAATGCTCCTTCTATTTCACGTACTCCAAGAAAAACCAGCTTCTAAGGCGTTGGCAGCCAGGAAGCAATAATTACCCATACACTTCCATAAGCACACAAAGCTTTCCTGGTCATCATCTATTTTAACTACCATTACTTTTTAGAATGCATCACACTGCATGTGACTTATTACAGTTAAATTTCCATGTTGTAAACGATTTTGAAGGAAGAGGATGTCGAGATCAAATCAGTGGTGCCGATTAGGTGTTTTATTATCTCACTTGTGACTACAACTGGTGGTGTTCTTGAACCTGTGGACGTAACCGAAGTCGATCAGTCAATATATGCAGCTTCATAGGATCAGGAGAACTGGTATCGAAGTGAACAATACTAGCAAGACCAGATATAATGTTCATTGTGTCAAAATACGATGTACTTTAAAAAATTCATTAACCTTGCGTTGATCACACAATTCCCAAATAAAGAAATATAGTGATAATTATATTAATAATATCTTCCTTGTATGCGTATTATTGGATTCTCCTCATTGTTGTCACCTCGCCTCTCTTCATTGACTTTTCCATAGACTAACAAACTATTTGTCAGGAGATGGTAATCGACATGCTACTTATAATTACTCGTAAGTGGTATGTATCGCAGTATAAACACATAAGACTGCTTAAATGAAAGTTTTCGCCTTTCAGGATGTTGAAAAGTACTCAGATAGACAACACTACTCTTAGTTTTGTCGTGAAGAGATTTCTTTTAGTGGAGTTTGGAATCCTTCTCTTTGGGATTCCAGCAGTTGGGTAATGTTCGAAGTCGAATGTTTTTGTTTTACTTATTGCAATAACTTGGTAGTTGAAGATAGTGCTTGAGGTCGGTGACTTCAGTAGCTCTAGTGTGCGCTGTCCAGTTCCGTTGTCAGATTCCAACCACACCGGCACCATAAAGCAAGTAGTATTCCTAACTATGTATATTACTCAGTTGGTTATAGTTCTTTCTTGTATCTTTCATTGGTGTTAATTCCACTTTCTTTTCTAGGCTGGTCCAAATTCGTACTCCAGTGATTTTGAGACCATTGAAATTAATTCTACGCTTGATCCATGCTTTATTCTACACGTACTGGATTCTTATCTTCGACAATGTAAGTTATAATACTATTTAAAAACAAATATTTTGTTGTATCTGTTCATTGTCTAATTTAATTGTAGTTTTAAGCCCGTTTAATAATCGTCTCACTTTCAATTAATGGGATTGAGACTTAATTCTTATCCTGTCTACTCTGACTCGAGGTATTGTGCAGTTCTGTTTGCCTGCATACGTAAAGTTTAACTCACATCCAAGTAAACAGAATATCTGTGGTCAACACGCCCAACCATTTCACTCCCTCTCTTTAAGCTAGGAGTCGGTGCACTCCAGTCATACGTCATCATCTTACATTTGATAGGAGCAAATTGCACGCCAAAAATCCGAAGATTTCTGCCCAGGGTGTTCAGAAGACTTCGCATTTTGTCAGCATCACCAACTAGGAGGACAATATCATCCTCATACTCTCAGTCGAAGAGACTGCTCCCTGGTAACAAGTCAATACCCAAGTGACTGAGGTCGACTAGCGTCATTAACACATCTATGATGAAATTAGACAAAGATGGGGATAGTGGGTGTCCCTGTTGCACACCACTGGTTGTAATCACTTCAAGTGACAACTCACTATAAGCTCGCACATGGTTGTGTGAGTTCGATAATTGTGGTATGATTAATGTGATATAATTTCTGTCCACTCCCTTCACGGCAAAACATTGTCATAGTACATCTCGACCGACGGAGTCAAATGTCTCCTTCAGGCCTAGAAATATGGCGAGTGTTGGGCGCCGGTAAGTATCCCGATGTTCCACAATCTGTCGGAGGGTAAAGATATGATCAATACATCCTCTACCTGGTCTGAAGCCTACCTATTTTTCTCGTGTCTGTTTCTCCCGATCATCTCTTGGTTTACGCATGATTATTGAACCTGGAACTTTAGATACTATATTAGTTAAGCCTATTCCCGTATAATTATCACATGAAGACTTGTCTCTCTTCTTATAAACTGGAATAATCAATGACTTAAACCAATCTATCCTGACTATCCATTATTCACGGACATCTTAATTAACCCAGACAACAGTTTTTCACCGCCGTCCTTAAATACCTTTGAAGTCATTCCATCTACATTGTATTTGCAGATATATTCTGACGGAAAATCAACTGTTTTCAGGGTACTTTATGTCATATGTGGAGTGTTTGAAAACCAAAAAGAGTCTGAGACTTTTCAGCGTTCTCAAGCTATGATTTCACAGATGATCTTGTTCACAGCTGTCACTCATTTCGGCTACCACTTTATCGGTCCATTTCTGTTATGTTTCGACATGACCACTATTAGGAATCATTCTTATAGACTCTGTTCTAAGAGCCATCAAATATTAGTCGATAAAGATAAAAGGTTAGTGTGTAACTGTCTTTCATGAATGAGGGATAATGTTTTTCCGAAATACCTGGTGGTTCAAAAGGCTTAAATCGAATCCGGAAGCTAGTCAACATGGACCAGTAGAAATTAAAAATAACTGAACCACTGTTGTAAATCATTTATTGGCTACTTTGTCAATCAGTAACATTTTCTAACCGGCGTATATTCAAAACCCTGAATGATCTGTAGGCTTTATTATTAATCTTGTATTTAACCCGAATGGATTGTTGTTTGTCTGGAATAAATTTCTTACTTACTATCCTATAAGCTACAGATAATGTATAAAGACTACCCAGTTGCTCTGGAGGCAGTAGATGGAAGAGGGTTTGAATCTTAAACATGTTCATCAATGGGCTACATCTCCACTGTCGCATAGTTTCGGTCTTGCAAATGCGATTCGTGTAATTTTTTACCTTCTGTTCCACTAGGAGTATCACAGGCAAAAGTTGGAATTCATGAGCTATTTGGTTTACAACCCAGTAGTTAAATGGTTATGTGCTCGTCTACAAATTTACTTCTGAAGTTATCATTAGGTTCTAAGAATGCACACCGATGAGAAGCTACATATTACGACAAAGCAGATGTACAGCTTTCTGTGGTTTTCAATAATTATTCATCTGAAATCACTCCGTGATTTATGTTCATCTTGTAGTTCATTCTGACTTTTGGTTCTTTTTAAATTTCCTTGAATTACACTAATAATTTTAACTGTTAATGTTTTAATTAAACTTTTAGACCAATGTCAACTCCATGGTGACAATGACGCTATGAAGTCAATTCAATTTCTAAAGACATTTTATATTAAAAATTGTCTTAGTTATGCCATTGCTGGATTATCAAGTTATTCGAAACACATCAGAAATATGGCTAAATCGATTATTGCTGTGTATAGAAAGCTAATTAATGCATATATTGCAAGCAGTTCCACACCGTCTACTACTGCCGCTACCACTCCTCCTGCTAGTACTACTAAAACTAATACCATTAGTAGTAGTAATCACCAACCCTCCAAACTTTTGTCGGCGAAGCACTTTCCTGAAGGCCAACAGGTATGTTTCAATAGTGGTGAATACGCAGACAACTTACATGTTATATATATATATATATACATATATATATATAATCCTGCACGTTAGTTGCAGCTAATTTATCATTACTGAGGAAATGCCTAGGTAGTCTTAATTAAGGGACCAATCTCCATTAAAATATTTTTTTTTCCCAACAGTTTCGATATCGTACAGTGAGTGTGGCCCGCAGCCCGGTATCGGATAATTGAGCTCTAACTAACTAATTAACCATAAACCATAATTTTATGTGCGAATGGAGCACATGACTAGTGAGTCTTGTTGCAACCGTTTTACTATTCAACGATTGGGTCAGAATTCCATAGCTTGCCTCTTGAAGCCTTTGCTAGTTCATGATAACGCATCACAGTTGTCCAGTTTTATTTTGTGAATGACTGGTTTCACAGTCAATTCGATTGAACTGGACGGCTTTCCAAAAGCTTATTCTTGAATGATGTTATCAAGTATAGTTGCCTGATGCAATGCACTGCCTTCACAAAATCTTATTATCCTCCTTTATTTTCGTGTATTTGGGGTGTCATATTTTAAATTGCAATTTTGTTATCTCAACCATTGTTTCCGTCCATTTCACTGGTAAATACCAACTAATATATTTCCTGGAGTCGTTTAGATACAACAAGGATCAACTTAGTTACCTGAATAGCTTATTGATCAGGGTGCAACAGGTGACACAGGATCGTATCTACAATGGAACATGAACCACCTCAGTTTTGCAGATCTGCCTTACTGATCGATGTCGACAAGAATAAAATCCTAATCAATTAGGTCATCCTACCGGCTGACACTTAGGATATAACATGGAAAACAAGTGGACATCATAGCAGTTATTACTGCCATTTTCATCTAGCTTAGGAACCACATTTCACACTTGACTGACAAATGTCGATTGGCCTGTAAACGTAGACAGTTGCATTAACTGCAGCAAGCCTTAAATTGTGGAATGTGAAATGATGTGGACGAATGTGTTGACTGCTTCACATGAGAGATTGTATCGGCCGTGATAGGTTCGTTAGGGATGGTAGGTAGAGGCCTTTTTGGCACCTATTAACTTGCATCATTTCTACTTACTGAAAGATATCTGTCAAATACAAAAATACTGCATAGCGTTTCTCCTGACTTTTTCACCATGCGACGTAGTCGGTGAAGTCAAAGAATGTGACAGATTTTTAGTTGTAAGTGTCTTCATATCATTGTTGGCGTGGTGGAATCACAAAGTTAATGATTTTTGAATTTCACATGCAGTGTTCGTCAGTGGAAGTAAATTAATCAATGACCCGGTAAGTTTGTTCCGAAGTGCAACCCAAGCCATCACTAATCTCAGTAAATAATGTTAAGTGTAGTAAAATCAAAATGAAGCTACAAATGATGAAATTAACTTACGAAGTTTTCCAACTGCTGATGTAAGTCGTATGTGAAGGGACGGGTTCTCTGACTAGAAATCTTAGTAACCTAAGAATTATTGGTTGGAAAGCCCTGGGAAAATTGCGTCAGGTATCCCTAGTAGTGGGGACGTCGAATGTTTTATTGAAAAAGGACTGTTGCTCGCTTCATTGAAGTTTCACATATCAAGTGATGATTATACGTAACAGCAGAAGACAAGATACGAAAGCCAAGGTATGTTTTTCACTAATCAAACCGCTGTTTATATCCATACAGTTTATATTCTTTAACCAATCACTGAGCGCGTGATTCCGGTTTACATTAAACGACATGAAATAGAATGTTCAAATACATATATAGTATTCCGTAGCTAATGCCGTATTGAACTGTGGGAATATTTGAGAATAATATTACGTTGGAACACATTGTCTGTGTGACACCACCACAACTTTTATTTCTACTCTTCATTTCCAGATCGCTTTTCTTCTTGATACATTAAGAAATAGTTTATCTCACGGTGGTGGGTCTGTCTTTGGAGGTGGGAGTCGTAAAGCTAAACTGTTCCATACACCTATGGATTCAGGTGGACGTTTAACAAAACTTCACGCTAATTTCTTCATTAAAGCCTTGAATTTATTCAGTCGCCCTGGTAAGCATTACATTTTCTATATCAGTACTACTGTATGTTAGGTATGTTATTAAACTTCGTACATTACATTGAAGCTGGTGGGTATAATGATGGTATACTTTCCTACTACTCTGAAGTCTTTTTGTATTCTGCTGTCACTGTTTCAAAAATCTCTTCCTTAACTTCCTTTGAAATGCTTCATCCAACCCATGGACCAATATCAGTGGGGAAAAAAACTTTTAGAGGCCAGAGAATCTCCCTTAGTGGAAAAAACCAAAAGTGTCAAGTTAAAAAGGGGAGTGCGTTGCTAATCGGCCACTGCGTTGCAAACCAGTGGTGTGTGATTAGCAACTTCTGCCAGTTTTCAATAATGTGTGGTATATCTGGTTCGACAGCTAAGAAAACTGGCTGGCGCCCTTTAATTGTCACTGGTTTTTGTTTTATGTTAGCCATTCATGAAATGCTACATGGTGGCAGTCAGATCTTTTAAAAATTTGCTTGGTTTCAAGATGGATTTCATTGTGAACTTACATCATTTAAAGAAACATTAAAAGTCAGGAAGAACTGGGCAGATATTTTGAACTCTTCAGCAGTGCATATCTTCAGTTCCACCAAGGACTGAATCCAGAACCTTTGTTGAACGATGCTGATTATTCAACCAACGAGGCGACTCAGATGGTCCAAGAATTTTAATGTTTATCAATTTGCAATATAGGCCATCTTTATCCAATATTATTGGCGAGTATTTGTCCTCACAAATTAATATTGGAACTCCTAAAAGTTAATCTCTTTCTCAGTCAATCACTAATGAGCAGTGGATTCATTTTCAGGAGTTGGGTTGTAGGGAATTAATCGATTTCAAGGTGGATTTAGTCCTGTTCCGTTAGTTCTTTTTTTTCAAAAAGCTAAAATTATCATTCCTTATAAAGAGTAGGACTGTGGTTCATTGGTATATGCGCTCGACTTCCAGCCAATGGTTCATGGGCTCGAACCCCTCTCCACAGATCAAGATTCGTGCAGCTAAGTGGTATTACTAGCCCTCATGCATACAATAGGTTTGCTTCATTACCAACCGCATGGAATTGTAATTCGTTAATGAATAACATTTCATTTTTATTTCTCTATGAAGAATACCATCAATAATTTTAGAGCATTTTAGTTTAGAATAATGGAAAATGATATTACTTGTTGTGTTTGTGTAACTTCATGTCTTATTAGCTTGTGAAAGATAGTCAGAATAAAATTGTTTTACAGAACATTGAGCTTCAAACGTAATTACTAACACTGAAACATCAGTTCACTGTGAGATAACTCTTATTTATTTTATTCCTTTGCGTTCCCAGTGGAACATAAGGCTTCAAGCTAGAGTTTCTGTAGCAGTGGTTTTATTTTTACGGGGTGGGGTTGCCGGTCTCACTCTCAATCTTCTCTCTTTGCAGGGCTAACTAATAACCAGCTAGGTGATGCAAAGGAGTGCATTGGCGGTCGATCGAACCTCGAACCACATGAGGCGTGGCTGGCGAGCATTCTACCTCAACGCCACCGATTCACACAAGATAACTCTTAGTTCCGGTAAAACGAAATAGTAGTTTATTCGATTATACTACTTTAAGTAGTCAGGGGAGAAAGTCTTAAAAAATTGATTACCAGTTATTCTCTAATTATTTCCATTTGCGGATGAAGTTTACTTCAAGCAGTGAATTCTTGTAAATAAATTTATTTTCCTATCATTTTTACCTGATAATTTGATTGTTCATCTAATTGTGTGTATAGTATATTCTCTGCGTCACAATCCTCAATTTTTAAAAATAAAATTTTTCTGTTCTCTAGAAAATCCAATGTTTCAGCCTATTTGGAATTGTTTACTCGCAAAAGCTGCAGTCGATTTAAGACATGTGCCTGAATTTTTGAGACTATTCTTTTCTACTAATAATAAGGTAAAAACAAAAGTTTTAAAGCAGGCTCCATTTTGAATTTATCTTAGATTGCTCTTGTGTTTATTTTAATCCATGATAACTGTTTTAAAGAATGTAACCAACTTTTTTTCAGAATGTTTTGTTTTGTTGATGGAAAAGTGTTTATGTTAATGGCAAATTGCAGTGCTCAATAGACAGCTGCCTACCCTTTATTGGTGGTCAAGTTTATACATAGTGCTGACTGAAAAGATACGTAAAGACTGCACAATGCCATAAAGACACAAAGCCTAAGGCATTCATTGTCAAATTCTGTGTAGTGTATGCGGTGGTGAAGATCTCAGACAGGTTGCAATAACAGTTAGGTGCTTTTCTAAGGTAGTCTGCTAGTCCAGTTTCATGAGGTAAATAGAGAAGGTTGGCTCAAAAATTGTGCACTTTGACTTATTTTTCTGGGACTTTAACTTTCAGCATATTTTTTTCTTACAAACTAAATAAAAATTATAATTTTTTTAAACAAACCGCCTGTGTTATACTTCAAACAGACATTGTGTCAGCTCAACAGTCAAGCAAAACTAGTCCATGTAGCTTTCGGGCACAACAAAAGCAAATTAACTTCCACAATGTTAGCTTCAAGGAAATCACCTACAAAACTGAGTTGTCATTCAAGTTACTCGTAGAAGACATTAGCACTTCATATAAAAGTCCTTAAATAGTTTAAGAAACATGACTAAGGCATTATTCTTCGTAAAACGAGAGATCGCTTTCAGTCTGTTATGAAAACAACGGTAACTAACGCTTCTGATTGTAGAAAAACACTGAAGAAAAATGCAAATAAAGGTATCTCCTCTATAGGTTCTGATTGTTACTAGCTTGGGATAAAAAGAAGCTTTTAAGAGTATGTTAGAAGCTGTTGCCTCCCGGTTTCCCTCATGGCGGAAGTTGATTTTTTCTCTGGGTTACCTGCAACAGAACGAGCATTAATGTTGTGTGACTGCAAAGCCATGGGACAACAGACTCTTTGGACTCGTTTTTCTTATTGCTTCCGTATTAAGTTCTCATTGCTGTCTAAGGACAACTGCAAGTTAAGTTGGTATGCACAATTTTCTAAACCCTCCTCCATCCCTCCAGAACGAAGAGACAGCATTACCGGTACGCCGGGCATCTGAAGTAAACGCCTTGCTGCTGTTAAATCCCTATTCCCCAGCAGTACGACTTCACTTAGAGACCCAAAAAAATTGTGTAAACGACTTACACTATGATGGTAACTGCTTTTAGTCTAACCTGTCTGTGAGCAACCTTTCTGAAATGGCATGACCTTCAAGAATATTAGTTCTAGTCAGTGCAGCTCTTTCGGTCATTGAGATATGCAACCCTGATCACCACGTCAAGGTAGCTGCTATTGATCAGGTGATTAATACCGAATGTTGTGGGGACTACTACGTCGAATTACTGACTTTAACTAATGTATGGGAGTAGGGGCATATAAAGTGAAGAGCGCAGTAGTGACAGGTAATATCACTTAATTGTTCTGGTTGAGTTTACCTATTGGGTTGGTAAAGCCAACAGGTAGTGAAACCATAACTGGAAAGACGAGAGTAAGGTTCGTTTGCAAATGTGTTGACTGGAATGACTAACTGAACACTGAAGAACCGTCTTGCTGTCTCTCAACTACCTTTTATTATTAAGCTTAAAGGAGTTTCAGTCACCGATGGTCTTTGTCTTAGTTGTAATTCTGGTGCATGGCTAAACCATCATTTCCCTATACTAAAAGTTTGGCTCCAAGTCTCTAACGAGAAGGGAAAGTCAAACTATAAACCTCCATCTCTCAAAGTGTCTAATTTATCTGTCATAAACACCTGCATAACAACCATTCCGACGTTCTACAATGATTTTGTGGAATGGAAGGACTGGACAAAACAAGAATCGGTAATATTCATTCATCCACTGACTTCTGGTTTGAAATATGTAGAGAAGTTCAGTCCATGTAGCCCGTATCCACTGGAAATAGTGTGCAGAGATTCTGTTTTCGTATTTTACTTTTATTTTCGCCCTGACATCTCTTTTCCTGTTTGCCCAATTTTTTTCTGACGTTTTTCGGCATTTCATGATGTCCTGTTATGTTCATATTTCTTTTGTTTCCATGGTTCGAAAAGCTGAAATGCGGTGATTCATTAGTGTTTGTCGGTTTGACATTCATACAGTTTTTTTCATCTTTTTTTCAAATGAAACTGAGTATCTGCTTATTTTGTTTCTTACTTTTCCTTTGTAGTTCAATCTTGAACGTCAGTGGATTTGTGGGGTATGTGTTTCTGGACTAGGTGATCCCGCAGATTATTTAGTTATGGAAAGTTCTTTAGTATTCAAACATGTCTTAACTGCATATTCCCTTCCTTCAGCGGACAATAATTTCAAGGTATGTTAATTCAGTTTCCTGCAAATGCGTTATACTAGTGTGTCAACCGAGCAAAATCATTTCGTATGAGATAAGGTTTAATTTTGTTCATTTTACTTCTAGCATACTTCAAGAAAAACCTTTTGATAACCGATCTAGGCTGAAAATATTTACCTTTTTTTAGTTTTCGCAAAGGTGAAAGAGGTCATTAACTACCACCGTAAGTATCATTAGAATAACATGTTAAACGGCGCACTTGACACCACAACACTTTTCTGCAGCTCATCTAGATTTGTATGCATTATCATTTTGGAGAAGTGCTTGATTCCTGAGTGCTGTTCTCTCAGCTAAGGACAAATATATTAACATCCAATATTTTTGTTGTTATATATATATATATATATATATATATATATATGTAATGTGATGTTAAGACTGATCTACTCGGTTTCCTAGTGTAGTTTCATAAGGAGTGAGTGTGTTGATCACTTCACTTATTTAAGAAGGTTGCATCAGTCCTAATTGACTGTTTGCTCACAAAGTCCCAGGATGGATACAGAGAACTCATCAAGGTTATACCAAATTAAGTCATCTGTAGTTCAGGTGTGTGTCTGGCATTCCACTATCATCAAAAAGCATTTAATTGGTGGATGGTGACTGACTAGCAGTGGGATCCACGATGCGCATTTCGTCCCATTCGGGACTCGTCATCTGAATGCACCCGCATTCCGCAGCGAGTGATGATGTTCCCACCGATGCTCGAACCCAGTGTCAATATTTTCAAACGCCAAAGCGTTATCCACTAGACCACTTGAACCACAAGAGAGCTACCTCTTGTGCAACGGGTCATATTAATTATTTCACTGAATTCTAGATTTTCCCGTCGATTGATTGGACTGAAGTGCTCGGTCTCAGGTTGACATATCAGCTTATTGGGCAGATGCTTCGACGATGTCTGGACATGTAATAATAATCATAATAATAATAATTTGCTTTATTCCAAAACAGTACATGTGATACAGAATGGAATTCTCAGCATTTTTACTACAGTATTGCATCCACTTAGTACATTATCAATAAATAGAATTCTACATAGATTAAGGAAACCACAGTTCATTATTACAACAACACATTGGGATGTCGGTAGCAAAGGCAAAGCTGAAACAGTGTTTGAAGGTGTTAGAAAAGTGGGAGCTGTCTTATTAACTGGCGTAAGCGAGAGAAAGAAACAAAGCAGCACATAACGGAAAGAGAAGAGAGAGAAAAGGATAAGAAAGAAAGAAAATGTTGTACCTATTGATGATGTGAGTTGGAAAGTTAATTGGTGGATGGTGACTGCAGAGGACATGTCAACCTGAGACTGAGTACTTCGGTCCAATCAATCGACGGGAAAATCTAAAAATTGAATTCAATCATCTAAAAGCATGCTTGTCGTGCACCAGTTTACATTGTTCTTTTTGCTACCGTGGCTAATGACAATGAAAAGGCTATATATGTTTTCTGATAATGTGTAACTTTGTTCAGTTGCTCATATTAGGTGCTATAAGGTGAAGATTCTATCTGCATCAAGTCTATTGTCAGAGAATACTTAATATTTTATGTAAATATTCTTGGCTGAAGATATTCTTGACTAATTACTTTATTTAAAAATCTAACCATTAACATCTTATGATGATAGTGAACAAAACTATGCAGTCATATAATGTCTTTATACTTTTGTGTGTATTTCTCTGCCTAATTTCAGATGTGCTGTGATGTTTACGCTTTAAGTAAAATGAATAAATTGTATTCTACTGTTGATGATTAGCAGCAAAACAGATCGATAGCCGCAGCATTCTATGCATATAACTAAGAACTTGAATTCATTCTAGTCTCTAGCCTTTTTTCTCTGGCTGATCTTCGCTTAATTAGCGCTATTTCTCTTACAGTGATTATTGAATCATTTCTATAATTAATCTTATTGCTGTGATTGCCTTGGCCATTACTTTTTTTTCTTTTCTTGTCTTTCAGCTATTGGTATTGCGACTACTTGTCAACGCTACAAAACATACTCGGATTGTGCACGCCTTGATTAGATTTCATGCTTTACCGCTTTGGCTTTCTCGTCATGCAGCATTGAACAGGTGATTTCCATTTTTATTTTACGTACAATATTTCTGGTTATTTTGAGTTAAAAGAAAATACTTCCTTGATTCCATTGTTTGATATAACACACACAATGATACAGTATTGATAGCTAGATGATGATTTTCCGAGCAAAATTTATTGCTACTCATAATCATATTAATTTATTCACAGTAGTATTCCATATATATCCGGGGATAGACGGTTTTGATTCCACGCGTTCAGTGCTGATTTGATGAGCGAAGATACCGTGATTAATGTCTCTTTCTGTTTCCGCCCGACTATATTACTTTTTAATACTATTACGCTAACCCAACATATATTGTATGATTACATACTAGTGAATGCATTACCAATGACCAATCTTTTTCTAGATTATTTTACTTAACACGGTCAATAATTTTACCTCTGGCGACTGGCCCTATTGAGGCAGTTACCTGGGGTTCTAGTGGGAAGTCGTGACCAGTAGGGTGCAGCATGTCGAAGGTGAAGACAGTTACTCATCGAAGACATTGCGAAGCGGTCGTGAATTGGCAGAAGTTAGAATTCATGAGCCATTGGATCGGGTCCCCGTGGCTTAATGGTCTGCGAGCTAGCTTGCCTTGTAACGAGAAGGTCCTCGGTTCGAAGCCTAGCGGTGGGTGAGTACTGATGAAAAGTCCCAAACTAGGACGAAACTGCTGTCCAGTACTTCCAGGTTTTCTAACCGATGTAAGCTCGTGATGAAATCCTTCAACAAATCAAACAAAATCACTACAAACCAATGTTAGATAATTTTAGCTCTAGCTAAATTTCTATATTCCGATAATCTAATTGACTCCGATCTACTAGTTTGACCTATATAACTAACCTCATAGTCATCACATGGTATTTGGTAAATTATGTTATATTTCGTATTCGCATCTATCTGTCCTTAAGCTAACCAAATTTGTATCTGAGTGAGTCGCTTGATTTAAATACCACCCTATTCCCAGCCCTATTATGAATCCCAATTGGAGCTTCTGTTGTTCCTTCTTTATATGGCAGCGCTACTTCTCTAACTACATTTTTGAATAAAATCTGGTTGGTAGTTATTCACTATTATTTTATTCAAAAATGTCATAAGAACTGTAAGAGAAATAAGAGTGGTAATGTGAATAATAAAAATAAGATAAGTAATACAGTATTCAAAGCCTCGATAGCGCTTGTAGTTGTAAAAATGCTTCGCAGGCGATTCATTTCTATCCTAAAACACAAATAAGGTGGTGCGGCTGACCTTCACTAAACATTGATAATTCAAATTATAACTCAGAGTAGTATCAATGTGAATGCGAATTTCTGCATTAATTCACGTGACATTATAGTGATTAAGCTTTATAAGGAGATTAAGTGTAAGCGTGTTTATAGCATTTTTACTGAACAACTATTGTCAGATATTTCACACATGTTGACTCGTTTAATACTATATGAATTTTTGTAAAACCCACCAGAGAAATATGCCTTTGTTTATGTGATTCGTAGAGAAATTTTTATTGACCGCATAGCTGGTCCAGTCAGTCAGTTCTTGTTTGTGGGTTAGGAGCTTAGCGCGTCACGACTAGTGACAAACTTTTATCAACAGCGGCCCACTTTGTTGGCTCCATACTGAAGATCAAATGGCCAGCCGGCCGGCCAGAAAGAATTAGCAACAAGAAATTCTGGCTGGGAACAAACCAACCAAGAGCTGATTGCTCAACAAATATTTAGGAGAAAATGGAGATGGATCGAGCATACGTTGTTGAGGCTGTCAAATGACATTGCTCGAGTGGTGGAATCCCAATGGGAAGCGACGAGTTGGTCGTCCTTATGTGACATAGGGGAGATCGTGTGGCGAGGAGGAGATGAGAGTTTATAGGCCATTGTGGACCCAGCAGAGAATAGAACAAAGTGGAAATGTGTTCTTGAAGCCCTATGTTCCACTCGGAACCCAGGGGAATAATAGATATATATATATATCTTTGTTATCGATTGTATTTACTTACTATAGATAAGTTTTCTTAAATATACCAATGTGTTCAATAAATCATTAAATGTCTGCATTTGTAGTACATTGACGTCAATGAAACAGACAGATTATTTTTCTGAAAAATAACATCAATTCCAAATCTACTTTTTACCGAAATTAATACAACTGGAATCTATGTCTTTCCTCCTTATCAAGTACATACAATCGTAGACCAGTTCATTGGTTGTTTAGTTTGGTAAACAAACAACACTGATCAATACTGAATGTCAGCAACACAATAGATGAAAAATATCATGCTTGTATCTGTAGTTGTAGTTTTGAATAAGTTGTTCAGCGATCAATTGTTTTTCTACACTAACAGTAGCTCTCATTATCGGATGATGAACAGGATATTTTATCAAAAGAGATACTGATGTAATAAGAAATCTGTAACCGCCATACCTGTGATGTTGAGTTTTTCTCTGGTTGATAGTGAATATATGAGGACGGACAATGGTATGACTGAGTGATGCATTCTTAAGCTTTCTTTGTATTTCTTTCATCTGTATTCCTGCATTATGGTAAATATACAATTATTTTTTATCCACTTTTATAGTTCTGCCGAGCAAAAAAGATTATTTCTTTGTATCCTGGAAAATATTCACAATGCACTAGTCACAAAATCCTCTAATCAACCTGTTCTGGAAGTGTTGAATTTAATTGGAGAAGAATACTTGTGAGTTCATCAACTGCTTCGATTTGCCCTTTCTTATTTTTCCATGTGTTTATTTTACTAACGTTGGTTAAGTATTACAGCATCTGTCCCAGACATCTGGAAAATATTACTGCCCCTACGATAAATAGGCAAGATTAAAGAAAACTACAAGTTTCGAAGTTGTGTGATTATAATTGCTATGATTATGAACAATAAATTGTGTTCGAAACTGCGTCATCCAGTAAATAATACTGTTTCACACTGTGTGATATATCTAATAAACAAATTTATATGGAATTACATACTAACACACAGTGCCCAAGTTTTACACACATATTAATTTAAAACAATTAGTTCCCTTTATGAATTTAGAGAAAGCAATAAGAAGACGTAATTTGTCTTAATTGTGCAATATATTTGCGCAACACATTTCGAACAATCTGATCACACACGCGCATGCCATATGAATATATATGAAATGAATAAAGAGTTAAGAGATGAGAAAATAAATTTACGTCAAGTTAAAAGGACATATTGAAAGTCAAAATAACAGAGGTAATATTACATCAAAACAAAGTTTACCAAGGAAGGTTTAATGTGATGACGAATTGTTTTTGAACGCATAAAGGTGGTTTAAACTTTCTAATTGCTAGGGCTTCCACAAACTTTAGGATACGCATCAAACACGTTTTACAGATAGGTTTAAAAGATGTGTAAACGTCATTTTTATGTCCTGTCTCTATAACATGTTTCGCAATAGAAGAGCTAGGTCTCCCGTTCTTACCATTAATGGGTTCCGGGGATTCTATTTACTTCTGGAGCCACTTAGGAATATGCTCTGAAGTCAGCCCTTGCAGAGATCGATGAGTCCTCCCTATGTATATGTGTCCACACGTATATTCAAATTGATAAATTCACTGGAATATGTAACATAATTTTTCGCATGTTCAACGTCACCTAAATTTATTTTTCTCACCTCTTAACTCTTTATTAATTTCAAATAAATATATTCCTATGACAAGTCCGTGTGTGTGATCAGACGGTTCGAGATGTGTTGCTCAAATACATTACACGATTCAGACAAATGTGTAAGGCAGTGAAGTTTGCTACTTCTTCTATAAATTTATAGGGAAAAAACAACCCCATTTAGACATTTAGAAGACAAAAGGATTGAGCGAAGAAGTATTTCATTTTAAATTAGATCCTCATCTATGGCTCTATTGTTATATATATATATATATATATATATATATATATATATATATATATATATATATATATCAAGGAGGTGATCATTAACCAAGAATATTACTGTAACAATTAATGAATGAAGCAATTAAAGATGAAGTAGTCAGAATGATAACATAATTAAAACAATGATAACTTAGTCTGTCTGGATTCAACATAGAACTTGGCACCGAAGTGCAGCAGTTCGAGTTGCCACGTTCCAAATAGCACACATAGGTAGACAAGAAAATGAGTGAAGAGAATCAATGGAGTTTTGACAAGTATAGGAGTGAAACAGAATGAGTAATGGTAGAAAGGAATATGAAAGATTACACAAGAGACTGAATACATCTGCGTAAGCCATTGACAACGATTTGAGCCATGTCACCTATTATCTCCAACCATTGATTCTTAGAGTCCCGAGGGCGGACCCCAACCTGGAAGTCTGCATCTCCCTACCTGACTCAGTTTAGCTGTCAAGGATTTCATGAATTGATGCCATGTTTTTGTTTGGCCACCACTTACTCTTTTCTAACCTGCACCTATATCAGCTAGTAATGCCCGTCGGGGGAGGCGACGGACATTAGATAAAGGTTTAGGGGCAGGGGAAAATTTTCAGTGTTTCACATCCATGTAACGATAGCCAAGGTAAGGAAAGTGGCTGCACGAATATTTTTTTTCTGAACAGATGGATTAGGCTTCTTCAGGTGGATTCCTATGGCTTCAGTGGTATTTGCAGGACGAACTCGTAAGACAAAATTAATATTGATTGGAGTGCGGTAAATAACGTTGAATGTTTTATTAACACCAACTTTATGCTCACTGTCTACAAGGTGTGCTAAAATAGAGCTACGAATAGATCTTGTTTATCCTTTGCTTAACCATGCAGGATAATGTTCGGAAATACAGTGATGAACCTGCTTAATTGTACGTTCTGCAGGAGTAGTCAAACTGGTAGTAATAGTAGTAATAATATCTTTATTCTGAACAGCATTTATAAAATGTACAGATTTTTCAGAGGAGTTGATTGCATGATATTTTCCCTTGGTACAATATCTTCAAGTAAAATATTAATTGACATTAATAATAATAATTTGCTTTATTCCAAAACAGTACTTGTGATACAGAATGGAATTCTCAGCATTTTTACTACAGTATTGCATCCAGTTAGTACATTATCAATAAATAGAATTCTACATAGATTAAGGAAATCTCAGTTCATTATGACAACAACATATTGGCATATCAGTAGCAAAGCCAACGCTGAACAGTGTTTGAAGGTGTTAGAAAAGTAGGTGCTATCATATTTACTGGCGTAAGCGGAAGAAAGAAATAAAGTAGTACATAACGGAAAGAAAGAAAATAAAAAGAGAGAGAGGAAAGGAAAAGAAAGAAAGAAAATGCTGTACCTATAAATGATATGAGTTGGAAAGGCGAGGTCCAGTTGTACTACTGACTATTTAATAAGTTATAGATATCACGCCTAATGCTTTCTTTATCGCACAGAACACGAGTTAAGTAGGGTATGGTTGAGTTTTTGTACTTGCTGGTGCGAGCATATAGTTTTCTATATAGGCTTCTGGTTTTGCCTGATGAGATGTAGGGGGAGAGTTGTGAATGAAGAGGGTGGTGTGAGTTAGATAAAATGGCTTAGCGCATTTTTCACGTGAGTCCATGTGCCTGCCTGTCGACCAGAATATTAACAAGCTGGTTAAGTGGCACATTGCTTACCCTGCTGACAACCTTTAACATCCTTCGTAATATGTTATAGTCTTTCTTCAGTAGCCCGGGAATAACTAAGGGGGGGGGGACATTGGTCTCTCAGCTGAAGCACAAACCATTCCATTATGAAATATCTGCTTTGTCTCCTTCAAGAAATCCACGCTATCTAGTTGAAAGTCAATTGAAAGATATTCAGTGGTACATTTTGAGACCCAAGGACATAATTGAAGAACAGTTATCTCTTGTATTAAAAGACGTTGCCATCCATAATCAAGCCTTTCCTCAAGTTTAGTAGGAATTTGCGAATCAGAGGCTTGTAAACATTTAAAATGCACACACAAGGGTAGAAAATACCATATGAGTTAAAACAAATCGAACGAGAGAAAATATATGCAATAAAGAGATGGGAGATTTTAGTAGCCCAAGTTTTAAGCAGGCCACCGGCACATAGGGGAGGCGAAATTAGGTGGAGCTATTTGGGTCAATCATTTTCTCCTATAGAAGAGATATCATCAAATTAAGTTTGCTATTCGCAAATCACACAGTTTAAGGTGTAAATTCACTACAGTTTCCTTTAAAAACACAAAATATTTACGTCACAATACGCAATTCGCTTGGTGTCATTAATACATCAGTCAAGAAAGCGAGCATAATTGGATGATGGTACATATACGAGTCATTGATATGAGTAATTGGTGACCTTCCATGTCAACTATTGGTACTTACTAACCAGGACAAATTCATCTACACACCGTAGGTAGCTTATAACTACTCTATCGATTAGTAGTATGCAGAATTATATGGTATCACTCACTTTAAATTTGATTAACGAAAAATGTACATCCGAAATAGACAGGTTATGTCATACATTTATTTCACTTTATGAATTTAAACAGAGCAAATCAAATGCTTGTGCAGAAGAGATCTTTTAGTGCTTTCTAGTGTTTTTCAGTCAGAATTTTCGAATGCCTTGTCTATGAAGTTAGATACTGGTTGGAGACGTTGACCTGTTTGGATTTATGAACCAGACTTTTCTGTCTTCACCCACTGGAATAAGGTTATTCAGTTGGTGGAATAGATTCTCAGCCGGAGCTGCTATGCCAATTCTTTGGATAAATTTATTCGATATGTGAAAGTTGAGTCCGGGGGAAAGCGTCTCAGTTTCACTTAGAATGAATTTCAAACTTGACAAATTATGGATGTACTTCTCAGGATTTTCTGGAAATTGCTTGAGCAATTTCTCTTTTACCAATGAATTGGAAATAGTTCTGTAAAGGTTTACACATATCTTGTGCTAGGGATCCTGGATAAAATTGATGAACTTGATTCAGTATACGATATTCGATCTGTCCTTAACTTCGTAAAGAGTTGATTTGTTTTTCGAGTTTGACCATGGATTGATAGCAGTTAGAGTACGAAACCCATGGCTGCATATTGCCGATGAGTTCCAGACTAGGATGAAACAGCTGTCCAGTACTCCCTGGATTTCAGTGGTTCTCTAACTGATATCAATCTGTGGTCAAACTAGAAAAATTTTATCGCAGGAAGAAGCATCTGTTCTGCACAAACATTTGTTTTCGCTTTGTTTAAGTAGACAGATTGCAGTCATTCACATTTCAGTGTTATTTCTTCAGTGCTAACTATCAATAAAATCAAGAACACAGGTTTCGCTGTTTGGTGTGTACTTATACATACTGCAAAGGCTACGTAAGAAAACTATTATAAAATTAAATTAGTAACAGCTAAAGCGGTCTTTAATACAGGTCGTTGTTGTGTTCACTCAGTAAGTCACTGAGAAACACTATCACTTGAAGAGATAAGCGCTTTGCTTTCGATGAAATGTGCTTACCGTGTTTGAAGGTTGAAGGTTGCTTAGATCACAGAATAAGTGTGAATGTATGACAGAGGTGTCAGATCTTTGGTTCCGTTTTCAGTGCTTCCGGTGGGATTCCATATGGTCCTACGGCTTTCCCAGCCTTTCGTAACTCTACTTTCAAGACTTGTTTTCCATGGAAGTTTTCTGTCCACCCATAGTTCTGCCTGTTGTTGGTATTTCGGGATGAGTCGTAGGTGATGATTATTGATTCAGGAATTCTTTTAGGTGGATAGTCTAACATTTCCTCTATTCCACCTTTTTAGTAATTGGATTTTCTTTACTTGTGTCATATGCGTAGTAGTTATTTGATACAGTATTGTGAGTTGTGCCTTAACCTGAATCAGTTCCTGTTTGGGCATCCGAAGATAACTTGATGACCATATGAAGATGAAATGAAAATATAGTTGGTCATCGCTTTATCCGCATAGCCTGTTGCACCTAGAACAAAATGTGACCTCAGGATCTTACTGAAACAACTGCTTATAGAGATATTGGAGTTACGAGTAGTATATTTTGTCCATAGTTCTATCAGTAAATAATACTATATCACTGTTCTATCAAATGGGCTTTCCCATCATGGAACCAAACAAATTTTTGTGCAGTAGACTATAGGCGGAAGAAATGTTGTTAGTTCAAAAAGGTAAAGTGTACTTACGAACCGATTATGGAAATTCAACTCATACAAGAGACGTATTAACGTCAAAAAGTGCACAGAGATGAATCAGTTCAAGTTTCCGCATGAAACCAGCAGTCGAAATAGAAAGGATGAGTGTGAATAAAGAATGAAGATTTCCAAAGTTTAGACGATGGCACAATGTGAACACATCTGCACCATAGCGAAAGATTTTCAGACCGAACAACCCCTACCCTACCAGTGGTTAATGATTCACAGTTGCCTCAGTAGCCAGTGATTTTTAAAATGTGTCCATTACATTCTACAGGAATTTTCGATACAGAAACTAGTAAAATATTGATTCTCTATGCAAAGCATGTCAGACTGTCTTTCAACATATTCAGTTACATTTAGATATGTTGGTCAAGATTTAAGTATAACGGCGAATCTTTAACAGATTATACTTTCTTTTCTTTTAGTGCGAAAAACGACCTCAAGGATGTAAAGGCGATCACAATTATCCCTTCTGAAAGTTGAACATTTACACGTGTACATTTAATTCGCTAAATAAACTTTCTCGCAATTTTGTTTGTTATTTGTCTGTCTTCTCCTTTACGGCAGGAGTTTAGCCGATTTCGTATCTAACAGAATGCTCTTTATGGATGAGTGTCTTAAAGTATGCCGTGAGGGCCCATGACTCCTAAGTAGTCCCGAGGCTGATAGGCCGGCACCATAAACGACCATGGAACCAGATGACAATCGAATAGAGATAAAGTTTACAGCAGTGATAAGTGTCACGTTTAGTGAATCTGGTTTTCGAAAGCAATAGCTTGGTAAACTCAAAATTCAATCCATCTTATTAAATGGCTTGATTTGTGTAGGTGGTCGATAACACAACATGTACTAGCCTAGCGAAAGGAAACGTCCTGTAATAGTGTTTCCGAATTCGACTTGTCTTCTGTTACAAAAAGATTAGAAAGTGTTTGAGGAGTGTATGCCACTTATTATAGACTTCGGCTATGAAAAAGCCAACACGCCATATAAGGGGCATAATGAGGGTGATAGTATCTTCATAAAGTTTACATTTATGGATGGAGACCCTTCCAAAAAACGAAGACTAGTCGATGTGCTGCAAGCCATCTCCAACAACTAACGTGTTGCATCGCGACCACTTAAGATATTGTCGATATAATGGCAGGACTGGCGTTAATCTGTAAACCGGTAGTCGACTAATTTTGGTATGGGTGGAAGAAATGTATTAATATAGTTAAGTACACATTATTTTTAGTCAAACGCGTGTGAAAACGATTTCCGAGAAATTCATTTGATGACCAAGGTCCAACTTTGAATGTATTTTAGCGACTGCTACTTTCTTATAATAACCTCGACTAAGAGGAAGGAGTCGGGATAGCGTTAGACACTCGCCGACCATGCACATGGTCCGGGGTTCGATCCCCGGCCGACGCATCCTTTACCTCGCTACCAGAATAATGCTGAAGAGAGCCAAGAGGAAGGACCCACTCTTGCTTCACCTGACATACGAAAATTATATTGGGCAGATGTTGGTTGGCATTTGTCGCTTATCCATCAAATAAAACTTGGCACATTATGGAAGTGACTGCATTAGGATTCCGACCACCCACGGAGATAGGTAAACGAAGTAGTTGGTATCACCACCTATTGCTCTCTTTAAAAAGCTCGCAAAAGTCGACTAGGAGACTGACACTTATTATTACATCCATGATGAAATTAGACGAAAACCGGCATCCTTGTCGAGCGCCACCGGTTGTCATCACCTCAGGACAATTCTCCACGAGCCCTTACGTGGCTGTATGCGTCCGAGTAAGACTTCTTGATTAATGTGATATACTCTCCCATCATGGCCAAACATTGTCACAGTACTTCTCAGTCGACGGAGCAAGAGACCGCCTTCGGGTCCAGAAACATGGGAAGTGTTGTACACCGGTAAGTATTCTGATGTTCCATAATATGTTGGGGGCATGTATGACCAGTACACTCTTCTGAGCTCCGAGCCTGTCTGGTTTGATTCTCATGAGCGCCACTCAGTCTGCGCGTTATTTTTGAACTGTAGTTGTTGTCTTAGTCAAGTTAATCTCTCTACGATTATCACACGAAGACTTCTCGCCCACCTTATGAACTAGAATAGTCAACAAATTACACTACCATATCTTGGCCAAACCAGACGACAATTCATCACTTCCATCCGTAACCAATTCTGGTGTCTTGGTTTCAGGTCCCACTGCTTAGCCTCGGTCGCAGTTGGAGAACCGATGCCTACATCCTGTTCAGGTAGGTGTCCAGTGTTGGACAAAATGACACCACCAGATAAGTATTAACCAGCTAGGCGTCGACTAGCCACCCACAAGAAAGGTATTGGATCTGCGACGATGAAAATGTTATCTTCACCTAACGTATGGACGACATTTGCACTCCGAGGAGAACTTACGTTCCGACCGTGTGAATATCATTTCCGTCATAATTCAGCAAGACTAGCATTTGAACCCAACAAATGATCTACCAAGTCATGGCAATTTTGACATGTACACTTAAGCTTATATAACCTGCTGATCTCCCATCGCGATGATATGCCGAGCCTAAAGAGCGCATCACGACTGGTAAACGCGGCAAGCATTTATGAAAAATAGAAAACAACAAAACATCTAATTCATTTCTGTTTCACCTAGTGGAATCAACACTGGGCGGGTTAACATCGCTTAGGTTCAAATGTCTGGGGCTTGCATCAAGGCTTTCATACGACGTGATGGAATGAAGACGACACCTGCATTAAGGTCACAGAAAACTGCATGACCTATATTATAGATTAGTAGATAGGTACGAGAGGCCAATGCCGAAGACAAGTGCTAACCGGTGACAAAAAACGTGAACGAAACTTGGTTGCATTGGAACTTTAATAATGGACTGGTACTCTCGAACACATGCATAGGCACTGAACATTCAGCCACAACTTAACCCATTTCCCAGTTGGAGGGACACGATAGTGACTATACTTTATCCATCTCCCACGGAAACAGAACAAAATACGGATATAAAGATATATTTACACTATGTACAAGGCATAGAAACTCAGTGTTTTCTTGTGCTATTTAATACAGTAAACTTTGTCATTGGCTTACCACCAATACCACATGTGCCAACACCAACACGACCATCCAGTGCTTCAGGAGATGCAAATATGCTCTTTTTAGTCTTCCCTGTTTTTATCATTTTCCTGCTGAAATTAAGCCAGCGGTTTTTCTCTTTTTCGCAAAATGATTCGATCTCCTCTTCTTTTTGGAGAAGGCGTTGTTTTTTGATCTTCTTTTTCTCAATAGCGCGGTTTTTTGTCTCGTGCCTGTAAATGAAATACTGCGGAATATGAACCTACTTTTTCTTCTTCACAATGGGTGTGACCGTGGTAACGGGTTTCAGGTGACACAGCTGAAAAAGAAACACACTGACAATGTACATCAAGAATGGAGGTTGTGTGATATACATTGCGAAAATAGCTTAGCAGGTTTTATTACACCGAAATATTTACTCACTGTAAGTTGCCCCAGCAGCTGTAGATTGCGAAAATCTCCCACCATCAAACGAACGAATTCAAAGTCCCATACGTACCGTGCTTGAATATATACAAAAATTCAATGGCATCCGCAAATGATAAGACAGTATGATAAACCAATCTTAAAGGCTGACATTTTCTAACTGAAACGAAAGAACCCTAACGAGTTAGATAAATCTTATTGAATTCTTTTATAAAGTCACAAAAACTATAGCTTATAGAACGAGTTAACAAACTTAAGGCTACTAGGATAGGAAATACTAAACTCACTCAATTGCCTTATGCAGAGGAACAACATACTGGTGCCTTAGCTAAACCTCAGTGCTTAAATGCATATACAATACACTCGAAAACAGGAAATGCTCACCTGACATACGTCCGTGGTATCGTACATATCAAAATTTACCACACAGCTGGTGTCCCCAAGGAACTCGAGAATGGTCGCGCGATAATAACTATGATGTCACTCAATTAAATAAATGAGCTTACAGTTTGTCACGAGAGCACATAGCCATGCATTGGTCACCCACATTCCATGTTACTTCTGGAGTATCACTTGATTTTCCCAATAGTTCGAGAGACAATTTGATGACTTCCTCAAGATCTCGTTTAAGTTGCAAGAGTTCCTCATTATCATGATCCAGTTCAAGAGCTGCTTCAACCTTAACATTGGAAAATACAAAGATGCATTATCTTTACTTGTTGCAGCTGCAGTTTGTGGTTAAGAAGGCTCAGTTGAGGATCTTCCGCCATCGTCACAGATACTTTCGTATAATGCGCCTTACAACTAGTGGAACACTTCAAACAAACGTTCGCATAATAACCACTGTCACCACTACTAATTTGCACAACTAGCTTCATTATTACAGTTCAATTCTATCCGTCATCAATAAGTCTTAGGTCTCCCAACGCGTTTAATTTAGTGAATCCTACAACTACAGCAGAACTTTAGTAAGGTCCAAGCTTTCGTTAGGGACTGGAGGAGTTTTTAAATTTCATTGGTTCTCCGCACAACCCCCACGCGTCAAAAGACCCATTTTTGCATTTAAATTAATGTGAGCATACAGGTGTATGTCTTTCTTTATGAATGGAGAGTTTCTTTTAGATGAAGACCTCAGACTTCGTGCCGCATCCCAACGAGGTAGGTGTTGAGTGTTTGGATGGCTTAGAGTGGCTTCGGAACAGTTGAATTGCTCCTCAGTGTTCTCCCCGACGTTCCAACCGACCAACCCATAGGGTGATCGAAGCGTCGTTCTTCTCAGAAGTTGCTTGGTACATCATTGGTTCCTTGAGGAGCGCGTACGCAGTTAATCTAGACAGATGTCTCGTGTTGTCCACAGCCATTTGTCTTTTCTATCACTTTGGCGTTCGTCTCGCACCTCTGTTCAAGTCTCTGAGTTTGATGATCCCCAGTTTACAATACACTGTTAAAACGTAGGCGGACAAAATGGAGACGTGATTTGCTGTACCACTGACCATTTGGTGAGATATTACCACCTGGATGGTTGAATCCTGGTATCCTTCCGGCATACCTGTTAGACCCGTCAGACAACCAATTAGGCGTAGCTTCGTGGGGTCTATTCAACACAGGACGCTAAAGTCACCCTAAGCTACTTAGTGACAATTGAGTTACGAGGTACGAGACAAGTAGCCAGGTGCGAATTGTATCTTCTTAATGATTTGCAAGGCTCTCAATCTGCTGAAAGTTATTGAATTATGAATGTTTTTTGTGTGTTCCACTCGGCTTCCCTGCTTCACTTGCCCTCCACTGCTCTTTCAGAGCGATCATTCAAACTACACCAGTGCCTCATGTGGGTTATTGGTCGGTAATCTGATTAATTCTGATAGAAGATTAGGGTTGATATAAAAATAAAACTTGTGCACTGTGGTAGTGTATGAACTGATAGAAAAGACAAATGGCTGTGGACAACACGAGACATCTGTCTAGATTAACTGCGTACGCGCTCCTCAAGGAACCAATGATGTACCAAGCAACTTCTGAGAAGAACGACGCTTCGATCACCCTATGGGTTGGTCGGTTGGAACGTCGGGGAGAACACTGAGGAGCAATTCAACTGTTCCGAAGCCACTCTAAGCCATCCAAACACTCAACACCTACCTCGTTGGGATGCGGCACGAAGTCTGAGGTCTTCATCTAAAAGAAACTCTCCATTCATAAAGAAAGACATACACCTGTATGCTCACATTAATTTAAATGCAAAAATGGGTCTTTTGACGCGTGGGGGTTGTGCGGAGAACCAATGAAATTTAAAAACTCCTCCAGTCCCTAACGAAAGCTTGGACCTTACTAAAGTTCTGCTGTAGTTGTAGGATTCACTAAATTAAACGCGTTGGGAGACCTAAGACTTATTGATGACGGATAGAATTGAACTGTAATAATGAAGCTAGTTGTGCAAATTAGTAGTGGTGACAGTGGTTATTATGCGAACGTTTGTTTGAAGTGTTCCACTAGTTGTAAGGCGCATTATACGAAAGTATCTGTGACGATGGCGGAAGATCCTCAACTGAGCCTTCTTAACCACAAACTGCAGCTGCAACAAGTAAAGATAATGCATCTTTGTATTTTCCAATGTTAAGGTTGAAGCAGCTCTTGAACTGGATCATGATAATGAGGAACTCTTGCAACTTAAACGAGATCTTGAGGAAGTCATCAAATTGTCTCTCGAACTATTGGGAAAATCAAGTGATACTCCAGAAGTAACATGGAATGTGGGTGACCAATGCATGGCTATGTGCTCTCGTGACAAACTGTAAGCTCATTTATTTAATTGAGTGACATCATAGTTATTATCGCGCGACCATTCTCGAGTTCCTTGGGGACACCAGCTGTGTGGTAAATTTTGATATGTACGATACCACGGACGTATGTCAGGTGAGCATTTCCTGTTTTCGAGTGTATTGTATATGCATTTAAGCACTGAGGTTTAGCTAAGGCACCAGTATGTTGTTCCTCTGCATAAGGCAATTGAGTGAGTTTAGTATTTCCTATCCTAGTAGCCTTAAGTTTGTTAACTCGTTCTATAAGCTATAGTTTTTGTGACTTTATAAAAGAATTCAATAAGATTTATCTAACTCGTTAGGGTTCTTTCGTTTCAGTTAGAAAATGTCAGCCTTTAAGATTGGTTTATCATACTGTCTTATCATTTGCGGATGCCATTGAATTTTTGTATATATTCAAGCACGGTACGTATGGGACTTTGAATTCGTTCGTTTGATGGTGGGAGATTTTCGCAATCTACAGCTGCTGGGGCAACTTACAGTGAGTAAATATTTCGGTGTAATAAAACCTGCTAAGCTATTTTCGCAATGTATATCACACAACCTCCATTCTTGATGTACATTGTCAGTGTGTTTCTTTTTCAGCTGTGTCACCTGAAACCCGTTACCACGGTCACACCCATTGTGAAGAAGAAAAAGTAGGTTCATATTCCGCAGTATTTCATTTACAGGCACGAGACAAAAAACCGCGCTATTGAGAAAAAGAAGATCAAAAAACAACGCCTTCTCCAAAAAGAAGAGGAGATCGAATCATTTTGCGAAAAAGAGAAAAACCGCTGGCTTAATTTCAGCAGGAAAATGATAAAAACAGGGAAGACTAAAAAGAGCATATTTGCATCTCCTGAAGCACTGGATGGTCGTGTTGGTGTTGGCACATGTGGTATTGGTGGTAAGCCAATGACAAAGTTTACTGTATTAAATAGCACAAGAAAACACTGAGTTTCTATGCCTTGTACATAGTGTAAATATATCTTTATATCCGTATTTTGTTCTGTTTCCGTGGGAGATGGATAAAGTATAGTCACTATCGTGTCCCTCCAACTGGGAAATGGGTTAAGTTGTGGCTGAATGTTCAGTGCCTATGCATGTGTTCGAGAGTACCAGTCCATTATTAAAGTTCCAATGCAACCAAGTTTCGTTCACGTTTTTTGTCACCGGTTAGCACTTGTCTTCGGCATTGGCCTCTCGTACCTATCTACTAATCTATAATATAGGTCATGCAGTTTTCTGTGACCTTAATGCAGGTGTCGTCTTCATTCCATCACGTCGTATGAAAGCCTTGATGCAAGCCCCAGACATTTGAACCTAAGCGATGTTAACCCGCCCAGTGTTGATTCCACTAGGTGAAACAGAAATGAATTAGATGTTTTGTTGTTTTCTATTTTTCATAAATGCTTGCCGCGTTTACCAGTCGTGATGCGCTCTTTAGGCTCGGCATATCATCGCGATGGGAGATCAGCAGGTTATATAAGCTTAAGTGTACATGTCAAAATTGCCATGACTTGGTAGATCATTTGTTGGGTTCAAATGCTAGTCTTGCTGAATTATGACGGAAATGATATTCACACGGTCGGAACGTAAGTTCTCCTCGGAGTGCAAATGTCGTCCATACGTTAGGTGAAGATAACATTTTCATCGTCGCAGATCCAATACCTTTCTTGTGGGTGGCTAGTCGACGCCTAGCTGGTTAATACTTATCTGGTGGTGTCATTTTGTCCAACACTGGACACCTACCTGAACAGGATGTAGGCATCGGTTCTCCAACTGCGACCGAGGCTAAGCAGTGGGACCTGAAACCAAGACACCAGAATTGGTTACGGATGGAAGTGATGAATTGTCGTCTGGTTTGGCCAAGATATGGTAGTGTAATTTGTTGACTATTCTAGTTCATAAGGTGGGCGAGAAGTCTTCGTGTGATAATCGTAGAGAGATTAACTTGACTAAGACAACAACTACAGTTCAAAAATAACGCGCAGACTGAGTGGCGCTCATGAGAATCAAACCAGACAGGCTCGGAGCTCAGAAGAGTGTACTGGTCATACATGCCCCCAAAATATTATGGAACATCAGAATACTTACCGGTGTACAACACTTCCCATGTTTCTGGACCCGAAGGCGGTCTTTTGCTCCGTCGACTGAGAAGTACTGTGACAATGTTTGGCCATGATGGGAGAGTATATCACATTAATCAAGAAGTCTTACTCGGACGCATACAGCCACGTAAGGGCTCGTGGAGAATTGTCCTGAGGTGATGACAACCGGTGGCGCTCGACAAGGATGCCGGTTTTCGTCTAATTTCATCATGGATGTAATAATAAGTGTCAGTCTCCTAGTCGACTTTTGCGAGCTTTTTAAAGAGAGCAATAGGTGGTGATACCAACTACTTCGTTTACCTATCTCCGTGGGTGGTCGGAATCCTAATGCAGTCACTTCCATAATGTGCCAAGTTTTATTTGATGGATAAGCGACAAATGCCAACCAACATCTGCCCAATATAATTTTCGTATGTCAGGTGAAGCAAGAGTGGGTCCTTCCTCTTTTTTTTCCTTCACGTTCCCCAGTGGAACATAGGGCTCCAAGCTAGTGGCTTGAAGTTTCTGTAGCAGTGTTTATTTTTACAGGATGGGGTTGCTAGGCTCATGCCCAACCTTTCCTCTTCACCAGCATTATTTCTGGCTCAGCGAGGTAAAGGAGTGCGTCGGCCGGGGATCGAACCCCGGACCATGTGCATGGTCGGCGAGTGTCCTAACCGCTATACCACCGACGCTTCCTTCCTCTTAGTCGAGGTTATTATAAGAAAGTAGCAGTCGCTAAAATACATTCAAAGTTGGACCTTGGTCATCAAATGAATTTCTCGGAAATCGTTTTCACACGCGTTTGACTAAAAATAATGTGTACTTAACTATATTAATACATTTCTTCCACCCATACCAAAATTAGTCGACTACCGGTTTACAGATTAACGCCAGTCCTGCCATTATATCGACAATATCTTAAGTGGTCGCGATGCAACACGTTAGTTGTTGGAGATGGCTTGCAGCACATCGACTAGTCTTCGTTTTT